ACACTGCTTCTCTTACACACATAGAAACACAATGCATCATACACACACTCAATTCACCCCTTACACATACAGAAACACACCTTGCATCCCTTACACATACAAACACAGATTCACACAATGCATCCCTTACACACACACACACACACACACACACACACACACAATGCATTCCTTACACACAAACACACTGCATCCCATACACAAATATACACTACATTCCATAAGAACACACACACACATTACATCTTCTACAATAACACATAACATATCCTCTACGCACATACACTCCACTTCCTGTGAGGAAACTCAGGTGTGGGCCATATAGGTGGACTTATGGGCAGGCCTTGTAGCAGCCCTGATGGGAGTTATGATTTACGAGTTACATTAGTAAAAAAAGAAATCCAAAAACCACATTATTAAGTGGGTTGAGGTGACACCGTGAGTTACCGCACCGATTGACACCAACCCTATTGACGCCATTGCCCACATCTGCAGAACCTATGTGATAGATAAAGTCCATGTTCTGTGATACTCAGGTATATTCATATATAATTTGGCATCTTCTTGAAAAGTGATACACAAACCTTTGCATACTGGTTATTTCTACTGAAGTACCATAGGCACATCTGCACTCTCACAACATCTGTGAACACAACATCTCCATGGTTAACGCCAATTCAATGTGGCATATAATGTAAATCATAAAGTGTATTTTGCACAATTCATAGCTAACTTTTAGGGAACATTGGATTTTTAGAGAAATCTTTATGCACCTTTTAGAACTTCCATTTAAAATATATTTTCAAAACAATACATGCACATGTAAGTAAATTGAAGCACTTCACATATTGATTTGAGCCCTGTGATTACATATCTAAAAATGTGTATCCGTAGTGTTCCATTTTGATGTACTGCCTTTCTGTTATAGTATTGTTTATATGGTGTTAAGGCTTCTTTTAATATTGTCTGCTTTCTTTTCTCTGAAAATATATTGCAGCCAACTCAGCATGCAGTTTAGAAATGATAGTGGTGACACTATCTGAAAGCTTCTGCTAGTTTATATCTTGATTGATGGGCATATTAATGTGCTTTAAATAACCGCTAAATCTCATTTCATGGATCAGTTCTTTAGAGTCTCAGGAGAGGAAAAAATACCTGGATATTGAAATAGGAGAGTGCATGTTTTCTGTATTTAGTTACTGCTACTTTGGAGCTTCAAATAACAATATAATCTTTATGGAAAACTAACATATACTGCTTTAAATTTCACTGAAAACAGATGGTACATAAGACCAATTATGGACCACTTGTATTTTTAGCAATATGAGTCTTGGCAAAAAGTATCAATGAGTAGAGTTTCTGATGCTACATCTTGCCATTTGCCTAAGGCAACTTGTCTTCATATTCTTATTCAAGAATACTATACTGACATGGCTCTTGGCAGATGAAGCAACTAACAGCTGACAAATCTGGATTGGACAAAGAAAATTTAGAAACTGAGGAGCAAGATATTGAGGTAAATACACAAACTCAAGAGCCATCCTATGAGAAGATATTAGAATTCTGCATGGCGAGAAAATTTGGCTTAGCCCAACTATTTTTCCCCAAATCAGAAAAATTTTCAGAACATCCTAATTTGTCTGAGTGTGTCACGGGGGTCGTACCCTAACAGGCAGGAAAGAGGAAACCCACAAAAGGTGGATCCGAAAAGTGTATGACCGAGCCTTAGAATGGCCAGACTTCACGTATTAATACAACAAGAAACAGCGTCAAGATAAAACAAGGACAGAAATACCAGAGATTACGAATCAAATAAGAAGCTGGGGTTAGGGTAGCAGAAATCACGAGTTAAATAAGAAGCCGGGGTCAGGATACCAGAAATCACGAATCAAATACGAAACCACGAGGGAATCACCAGGAGCACTAAATGAGGATCCAAACAGAAACCACCAATTCTTCTGTTCTTCAGCCCCAAAAAAGACCAAATAAAAACCTATAATAACCAATGCCATTAATTAAAGAAAAACGGAAAATTAAAAAGAAATCCATCATAACCTATAGACCACTGGCCGCAGAATAAGCTCTGATAGTCTTTCCCATTTTATTTAGTCCTTATTTAGTCTTTCCCATGCTATGACAGCATGCTATGCTTTCCAATATGACCAAGAGGACTCAGATTGGTTGGATAGTAAGCTCTCGAGAGAAGTGAGACATGGAATGGGGCTTTTTTCCTAGTGACTTGGCTGTCCAGTCACATGTTATTGAGTTTTTCTAAGCTTTTGTCCATTTTCAGAGTTTTCATATTCTCAGTTTTTTCCACTACAGACCGAGCTCTCATAAGGCCTTATAGAGGCTTTCCAACTCTTTGTCAGCTATTACATTCCATGGTAAAATTTCACATGCATGTAATTACCAGTAAGAGCGCTCTGGCAGCCTAGTCTTGAGAGAAGTGAGACTTGGCCCTCGGAGCATTCTGATTGGTTGGTTTATAAGCTGCAACATAATTAACCCTCACATTACCGAGGGATATTTCACCTCTGCCGATTAGCATGTAGTCCTGTCAGCGGGCAAATGGTATTAAAAAATATTGTTTGCTTGCATGAAGGCAAGTGAATAATAATATGAAAATGTGCATCCAGCCAGATGCATTTAGTTTCAATTTTGAAAACATTTTTTTTGAGAATCCTAAGCTTTGTGTAGAGTTTGGATACAAAAGCAAGAAATTTAATCCGGTCCCGAATGCATCTGGGTGATTGCACTGTATTTGCTTGGGGAGACCCAATGCTTACTATATTTGGCTCTAGTAAATAAGAGAATTGCCATTTCGGTCACAATTAGGTAATTTTCACAGAATTTTGTATTTCCTGACAAAATCCAGTGTTTAGTTAAAAACCCCATAGGAGTTTCAGTTTCCAGTGAAGAAATATCCAGAATTTACCTGATCTTGCTTGCTCTTTGTTTTTGTGGATTTTACAGAGTAATATGGTTGAAATTTTACCAATCATTAAAGCACACATATATGTCAGCACTGTGTTAGAAGGCCAATCTATGCACTATGAGCACTCTGCATTATTGCAAAGTTCATGTTCTTGGGCTTATAGCGCCAGCAATTTGTAAAATCCCCACTAGGAATGTAAATGAAGCAGCCCAGAACACTTAGTTCCAGGCTGTCAGGGTCAATTTCTTCTATGGAAAAGAGTTGAGCTGCAGACTACACTCAGCTATTAGTATAGCAAAGCCTTGTTCATTAAACTGGGCTGTTTATAAAATAATGGCAACTATGACTATTCTCAGCTTAGTTTGCAGTTGCAATCATCCCTTTGGGCAAGTGGATCCACTCTTTTTTGAATAGACTTCTCATCCTATATTCCCCTGTTTATCAATCCCCAAGGGGCCAGAATGAGAGACTTCTGATGGGAGCGTCTTATACAGGTATGGGAAAGATCCATCTGCAACTTCACCGAAGGGCACTTTAAAAGGTTTTTGTTTTATTTTTAATTTCATATTTTCATATTTTTAACTTAATTTGGGCAATGTTTTTAATGTTTTCCAATGCCTTTGAGATAAAGAGTATTTATTTATAGTTATTTATTGCGCCCAAACACATTTTCTTTTTTCCTCAGACATAACGCTAATGGAGGACTTGATGAACATGCAAATAAATGCTAGAAAAAAGCCCCAACCCATATCTCACTTCTCTTGAGACTTGACTGTCAGCGCTCTAATTAGTTGGCTTACTATCCACTGAGGATGTCCAACATTGTTTTATGGAGTTAAACTCTGTGAGAAACTAGGAAGTGCCTTTAGTAGCTGTATATAAGACAGTCAATAGAGGTGGACTTAACACTGCAATGTAAACGTTGCAGTTTTCACTTGCATGGTTAGGGAGAAAGGGGAAATTCAACAAGATGACTTCAAGGAGATGAAGTGGTATGGGTGCCTGTAGGCAATGATTTGCCTTTATGACAATCTGACTACTAGACGAGTACATTAATGTTTTTTAGCTGGTAGGAATGAATATATTTCCTTTTAATCTGTAGGTAGTTTGAACCCCTTTAGACATACTGACTTTATTCCACATTAGGTTACTTTAATTTGTTACCATTTGCCCTGATTATTATGCTTTGGTGGCCGGTTTGGGATATTTGACCAAGCAGGAGCATTGGAAGCTTGTTTGTTGTTTTATCAACAATTGTTTTTTTTTCCTTTATGATAGGTGTGTTCACCATTGCTCCCTGGTATCTTTTTGAATCTGTATCCCCCACCTTTTTTTGAGATACTGGGGGGGTCAATAATTTTGACTTACTGGTGCTGCTTCAACTGTTATTCCCTTAGGTATAAGTTATTTTTTTTTTTTTTATCACACACCAGTTATTCACGTTGCACTCATATATTTCTAGTAGTGTTTTGAGCCCTATTTTAACCATATGTTGGTCTCTTTTCCTAATAAACTATTTCAAACTATTTCTTTTTGAGCCTCAAAGATATATTTTCACCTGTTCTTAAAGGGTTAACAAGTATATTCAAAATACATCAGTAAGATGAATTTATTCACAGATTTATTCGACCTCTCCTTCAAGCCTCATATTCAATCTATCGCCAAATCCTGTCATTTCCATCTCGAAAACACATTTCCTACTTAACGCCAGATGTGACTAAGGTGTTGGTCCATTCCACTGTCCTTTCTCGCCTTGACTACTGTAATCTGCTTCTCAGTGGTCTTACATGCTCCCAACTAGCGCCGTTACAGTCCATAATGAATGCAGCGGCGAGGCTCATCTTCCTGTCCGCCCGCACCTCTCATGCCTCACCCTTCTGTCAATCCCTATATTGGCTTCCTATAAAATATAGAGCTCAATTTAAAATTCTGCTTCTTGCTTTCAAATCTCTACATAATGCTGCTCCTACCTATCTATCCTCCCTTATACACAAGTATGTCCCGTCTAGGCCCTTACGATCTGCTGAAGACTTACGTCTATCTTCTGTCCGTACTCCCACCTCTGATGCTCGCCTTCAAGATTTCTCGAGGGCTGCACGGTTCCTGTGGAACTCGCTTCCCTCCTCCGTTAGATGCTCACCCAGTCTCCACTCCTTCAAAAAAATCGCTAAAAACCCACTTCTTCATAAAAGCGTATCAATTAAACTATTAATAGCTCCTGACTGATTCCTCTTCTGCAACTGTCAGTCTAATACTATCCTTACCTTTTTGTGTCATTTTACCCCACTCCCTCTAGCATGTAAGCTCATTGAGCAGGGCTCTCAACCCCTCTGTTCCTGTGTGTCCAACTTGTCTGGTTACAACTACATGTCTGTTCGACAACCCATTGTAAAGCGCTGCGGAATTGGACGGCGCTCTATAAATATCATAATAATAATAATAATTTCAAAAATGGCAAATTTGGAAACTTAGCTATATTTTCTCTATAGAGTAGGGATGTGCATGGGCAAAACATTCAGTTCAGTTTGGCACTTCCGAAATTCGGGACCTCTGCAATGCGGCACTTTGGAACTTCCGAAATTCGGGACTTTGGCTATCCGGCAATTCGGCACTTCGGTTCAGCACTTCCGAAATTCGGTACTTCAGGAATTCGGGACTTCGAGAATTCGAGACTTCGGCAATTCTCTAGCCCCAGCCCTAACCCTACCCTTAACCTTCCCCCCAACCCTACCGCTAACCCTAACCCTACCCCTAACTATCCCTACCATTGGGGGTAGGATTAGGGTTAGGGTAAGGGTTAGGGTAAGGGTAAGGGTTAGGGGTAGGGTTAGGTTTAGGGGAAGGTTGGGGTAAGGGTTCGGTTTAGGGGCAGGGTTAGAGTTAGTGGTAGGGTGAGAGGTAAGGTTAGGGGTAGAGTTAGAGGAAGGTTGGGGTAAGGGCTAAGGGTAGGGATAGGATTAGGTGTAGGGTTAGGGATAGGGTATTGTTAGAGTTTGGATTAGGGTTAGGAGTAAGGTTAAGAGTAGGGTTAGGAGTAGGGTTGGGGTAGATTCCTGTCATCATTCCCTTAATTTTACCTCCCTCTCGCAATTTGTTTCGGTTCTGCACTTCATCAATTCGGCACTTCATCAATTCGACACTTCGTCAATTCGGGACTTTTGCAATTCGGGACTTTGGCAATTTGGTTCGGCACTTCCGAAATTTGGCACTTTGGAAATTTGGCACTTTGGCAATTCATATTTGGACCGAAACGAATTACACGTGTCTACTATAGAGTATGTAATACAATTGTCTCAGAATAGCAAACTGTTTAGTAAATAAACCATTGACATATTTTTGAAGATGACACTAACAAAAGAATCCAAGAATTATACTATTATATTTAGAAATAAAACGAACTACAATAAGTACATATGTAGCATCCCAAATTATTATGAGAGACTTGCAAAGGATCCCTCTGTACAAAAATAAAAAAGGATCCCCAAAACAGGAAGACTCAGGTAATTGTTCCTTCCCTAAAAGATGCAAATGGTGTTCGACAAATAACCCCCTCGTGTGTGTAGTGGGCAGTGGTTAATCACAAGCTTCTAGGAACTCAATGAATCGCACTACCTCTTAACTGTCTTCTAGTGTTTGATCTGGAGAGATATACCTCTTTATCCCCTTAGACAGTTGCAAAGGACTAAGCATTGCTTTATCCAGTCTAAAATAACCCCCCCCCTTACATAACAAAGAGCCCTCAAACCACTGGCTATCATATTTTTACCTTTACATTTGAAGTATCCATATAAAGAAAAACAGAGCACTGAGTGTGTCTTAAAAATGCAAAAAACAATTATGAACACTAATTTTGGCCAGTGTTTGTGACTAAGTGGCTACTAAAAAAAAAGGATGGTCGTACCCAATTATGAAAACCCTGGGTTGTCTACTTTTCAAAAATATATGGTTTGATGGGGGTAAATTACATTGGCTGGCTTTAAAAATGTCCCTATTAGGACATGGGTGCATAATGACCAGCTGTGAAAATTCCAAGATGGAAAACTGGAATGCGCACCCTCCAAATAAGGTATTTTAGCCCCCAGAGAACCCGACACACCTATACATGGGTGGTATCACTGTACTCAGGAGATGTTGCCGAACACATATTGGGGCGTTCTTTGGCAGTAATCCTTAAAGTTCTCAGTACATGTATTCTTAAATTGCTAAGTGTGTCAAAGAAAATCACCAATTATTAATTTTTTTTAAATTTCGTGCAACACGTAAAATGGTTGCACGAAAAGAGTCAAAATACATGTGAAGGGTTATTCAGGGATTCCTGACAGATATCAGTGTTACAATGTAACTTGTGTTTCTATTTGAAAAAAAATGGTTTGGAAATAGCAAAGTGCTTCTTGTACTTATGGCCCTATAATTTTCCCAAAAAACTAAGAACATGTTAACATTGGGTATTTCTAAACTCAAGACAAAATGTAGAAACTATTTAGCATGGTTGTTGTTTGGCGGTTGTAGATGAGTAACAGATTTTGAAAAAGTTTGAAAAAGTGTTTGTTTTTTAATTATTTTCATTATATTTTATGATTTGTTTTCTATTAAATTATTTGATGAAAATAATGATATCTTTAGAAAGACTATTAAATGGTGAGGAAAAACTGTATATAATATGTGTGGGTACAGTAAATGAGTAAGAGTAAGCCCCGGTCCTTAACGGTAAGAAAATTGAAAAGCAGTCTGGTCACTAAGGGGTTAAGGTTATGATTGGGGTTATAATTATACTTAGGCATAGGAGTAGGGTTCAAGTTAGAATTAGGGTGAGGGTTATGATGAGGATTAGACCTAGGATTAGAATTTGGATTGGGATTAAGATTTGGTTTAGAATTAGGGTTTGATTTAGGATTAGGGATAGAATTATGATTGTTACTCTCCAAAGTATACACATGAGGTATTGTTGAACTCAGGAGACATTGCTAAGTAGAGTTACGCTAATTTTATTAAAGTGGCACACATGCAATTTAAAAAGTAATAATCAAATATACAATGTGTATGTAAAAAAAATTAAATAAAAATGACCACAAAGTTTGAAAAACATAGCATTTCAATAGAAGCTCAAATCACAAGAGAGTCCCCATGGTGTTCACATTGGAAATGTAAATGCTTTTATGAAGTATTTAAAATATGTGAACCAAATGACCCAAAATACACCATCAATTTGCAATTAACAAAAACAACAAAAACACTGCACTGGGCAGGTTGTACATTTGGCCCCTTATCTTCACAAAAATTTGACAAGGGTTTTAAAAGAGGAGATATAGCTGATTTAGCACAATTTTTATAACAGTAGCACATAGCAAGTTTATAAAATAAAATACTAAATTGCAATGTGCATGTAAAAAATAAATGTGAAAGTAAAATAATAGCATGAACTTTGAAAGAAATTGATGCTACATTTTTTTTGTATAATAAGGCTCAAAATATACAATATCACATACCCAATGTCTACATTTACAAATGGTATGCACTTACGGGGTAATTCAAATTGTCAAACTGCAACAATGCCCCAAATGCAGAATAAGCAAATTAATCTATTAAAATTCTAATTGTAAAAACGAATATAGTCAGGCACTGTATCTTTGCAAGATAGTGCCAAATGCATACATTGGGGGTTTTGTTTTATTCAGAAGAGATTGCTGATTATAATATGAGTGATTTGATCATAGTAGCACATATCAGATTTGCAAAATACCAATATAAATCTTATGTGCACATTAAAAATCCAAAGAAAAAGGTGTGGGGGCACCTGACTTCCATGGTGATCTGTTTCTCCCAGAGAAAAGCTGTTATATCAACCTTTTTAGACGCTTATCATCAAGGGCCCCTCAGCATCTGAAGCGGTCCTACATCCTTGTGGGCTAAAGCATACTATAAATAGCCAGCAATCTGTCCGCATCTGGAGGATTTTGCTTGGGGGAGCCACTGCAGCCTTAAAGAGGCCACACTCTGTTGGTGAGAGGGAGGCAGCTGATCTCTCAAACTTTAATTTTGCTGACATCTGTATCATAGCAATCATGCTCCTCCACTCCCCACCCCTGCCTATGAGGGTTATCCTGGTACATACAGCTAGTGTTACGGTAATCACTCACATCGACCAGTAACCATTAGCATTCCAGTCTTCTCTAAAATGGCAGCTGCCACACACAGAGCAAGCTCCTGTGACAAGCTGTCCACTATCCTGGCTAAGCTGGACATGCAGTTCGAGTACTTTTGGTCCAGGTTTCAAGTCAACCAGCAAGTCTTGAAGGATGAGTCACAGATACTTGTCTTACAGTTGACTCTACAGCTGTGTGTTCCTCACATTCAAGGTGAGCATACCAGTGAAAATGTACATGATTATCAAGGTTCAAGACTATGGAGGCCCTGAACTTTTAACTGCCCTGGAAGGGCCCTATACAGAATAGGGCCTTCTTGAATGATTGGTGTCTGACCATGAACCCTATCTCTGAGCGGACACTCTGCTCTCATTATCTAGCTTAACAACTGTTTATGTGATAATACTCAGTTTGTGCTTGCTATATTTTTTTTTTCAGATCCTGCTATTTTATGAGAATCTGTGAATGTATCACTGTACAACAAAAGTAAAAATTAAAAAAAGCAAACAAAAATAAATTTAAAAAAAACTCAATCTTTGATATGAACTGGTGAACAAATGGCAGCATGTTAAGGCATAATGTCAGATAACCTGGATTGTCTAATTTCATGGTAGGCCTGTGTGGGGTTATTTGAACAGTCAAACTGCAATACGCCAAAATAAGACATAGGTCCATCAAATCCATCTATCAAAATTCTAACTGTAAAAACTGAAATGGTTATGTGGTTATGTTTGTTTAATGACACTATAGCTTCATGTGACAGGATTCAAAACCTTGTTATATGTGTTCATATTAAAAATCAGAAACCCACATTTTTATTACAATATTTTGCAGAGATTGGCAGTTAAATTGTTACATAAAAAGTGAATAGGGAATAATGTCTACTTTATATAACTAGATACACTTTTGTGTGGTAATTTTGTTTTCTGTTATAGCTATTCAGCTTACAGACAAACATACCAAATTCTAAAATTGACCCACAATTAAATTTTATTTTAATCCTTGTCTTTTGTGACCTGTCACTACCAAAAATAAACTGAAATCCTAGACATAAGATGTACTCTGTAAATAAGGACAAATACATTAATTTACTTTGGATTATTTTTCTTAAGCGGCACTCATGTTGCACACACTATTATTGCCAAAACAGTGAAAAAATATGTTTTTACAATAAACTGTGAATTTATATATGTATATATCATGTCAAATTCCTTTAAAAAAAGTATATAATAAATGAAAACAATGGAAATTTCCGTTAAACACACACATAGCAAAAATGCAAAAATTGCTGATGTCCTTAAGTACAAGACAAGCATCTGGAGCTGTCACCTTAAGGTGTTAAATTCTTTGCAAATCTTAATGGAAATAATGTCTTCCCTGAAAAAATAATAATATTTAGTTAGCATTAAACTAAACCAATGTGGTATATTTTGTTAGAATTAGCATTTTTTTTTTTTACATATACTCAAGTTATCGAAGGTTAAGTCAGATGTAAAAGTAAACCTCAGCATGATACTTAGATTAAAAATATACTAAGAATAATGAAAAAAAAGAAAAGATAAGCATATTTCATTGTCAAAAATAACATAAAAATTCACTTTTGTGGAGCCTGAATCATTCCACAGAGACCAATTATACTGAATAATGTTTGTGCTTTCATTTTCTTTATTTTTATGTAATTTGCTTTTTTTGAAACAGTTTTGAAATTACTGCTTGAAACAGGTACATGTTATAGCCCATAGAATACCCAAAGAAGGATATAAAACCAGGTAATTATAGATCTTCCGTCTTTTAATATTCTTTCCCGTTTCTCTTTAAGACTATTTCAAATAACTGCCATTGAAATCTATTCAAGAAAAATAGCTCTGCAATAGTCTACTAAAACTAATTAACATTTTATGTTTGTCCTATACAGATTTCTTAAGGGCATTACAGAAGTACATGGTCCATCCTTTGACGAACATTGGATATGACGGACAGAGAGAAATGGTAGCTTCTTTAATTGGTAGAGAGAAATGGTAGAGAGAAGTGGTAGGTTATTTAATTGGGCACCAAAAGATAACATAAAAGGTCCTTTAAACAATACAAATGTAACATTAAGGACTAATGAAAAAAGGTTATAGCTACTCAAAATATTTTATATGTTCTATTTTTTAACTACAGTTAGAAACAGCATTTGTTTAATAAAGTTGGTACTAGAACAATGTCTTTCTTCATCATTGCAATATTTAAGTATGTTAGACTTTTGTTCTGCAAAGTTTTTCATAACTGCCATAGCAAAGTAGATTGTCAGTATCCATGGCAATGTTTTGTCTTCAACTTGACCTTCAAATTTTTATAATCCAAAATGAAATACCCTCATCAAGTGGCCTTCAAGAGACAAATGGAATCCAGTTTTGATTTGTAGGTCCACGCAGTTCATGATATTACATCATTCCAATATTTGAACTACATTTTATTCTCTGTACCAGAAAAGGTGTCTTATGAATCATCTCTGGTTTCCAGTTCCAGAAACCTGTAGAAACATTGTTTTTCCTAATCCACATAAATTCTAGGAGGCAATTATTGAAATAAGTGTGGAATAATCTGATAGGAAGAAACTGAGTTCATATGGTGTGAACCAATGTTCTTCTCCAGTTTCAGGTCTTGCTCCAATAGATTCTTTGTTTGCTACCGCGTCACCTGCGAATAAATAAATAAATAAACATTATGGCATTATATTTCTCCTGCTTTGTTTCAAGTTCACTATATAAATATACAAGAAAAATGTAAGGAACCATTACACGTAAATCCAGGAGTTGTAATTACACGTAATGGCCATTGGAGTAACTAAATAACCTCCATTTGTTTAAATATACATAGGGATTTGGGAGAGGGAGCAGGTAACTTTTTTCCTTTGGTTTTTATATCTTATTCTTTATCATCCAGCGTTGGCTTTAAAAACACTTAATTTTATCCAGATTCACTCTGAACATATTTTGTAAAGACAAATCTGCAAAAAAAAAGGTCTCCAAAAATCCACAATATTTTTCAACTGGCAGCAAAATCAGCCATCAGCAAAGGGTTAAAATATTAACTAATATATATATATATATATATATATATATATATATATATATATATATATATATATATATATATATATAATGCATTTTATATAATAAAACACTTGTTTTATTAATTAGGGTATAATGTAACTCTCTGTGAACTTAACCATTATTTACTAGGAGATAGTTATGTAAATGGTGCTAAAGACCAATTATTATAATTGACCATTATCTACCACTCACTGTTTGGCTCAAAAGAACTGTGTACTTTATTTTAGATTAATAGCATGTTTGTTTTTTTTAATCATATTTTTTCATTACAGATACCTGGTTGCATTTGGACAGGCTGAAATCCAAACTACATTCATGTTTATTTAAAAGCTGTTCAAAATCCTGATCTTATATCTTGTGATCAAGGTGAAGATTTTGGTGTCCAAATGCCCATACATTGTACCAGATTATATTTTTAATTTTAGTGCTTAAACCCGTAATGACCAAAATGCATAAAAAATGCACTATAGTAATTTTAAAATCTAAAAACAAATCACAGTAAAAATTTTGAGATTTTGGAAAAAAAGGTCAAATCCAGCTCTAAGGAATGTTTGAGGTCCAATTATTTATACAATTATAGGATGAAAGCTTTACTAGGTGCAAGAAAAAAAAAATATAGTGTCCCCTCTGTGAATCTCTACAATTGTTCACACATTTCATAATATCCCAAGTGCTTAAATGAAATAAGAACACTATTATCTTTTTAATATTCCAAGAAGATGCTCAGCAGTTTCAAAATAATAGGTACAAAAATTACATTCTTAACAGAAGGTCAACTGGCAAGTGTGTTGCATCTAAATTTGAGGTATCTATTCATGTAACAAGACGCTGTAAGATGTGCTTGTTTTCTACCTCCATAAATCTTGCTCTGAAAAGTGATTCGCTGTTACATTGTTAACAATTTTACACTTGGAGCAATATATATATTTTTAAGGTCGTTCCAAGTATCTTCTATACTATACTATGCTATGCTATCAATATAAAAGCAACACTTTTTGAAAATTAATGGGACACTATAATCACTAGAAAAACTACAGCTTTTTGTATGTGTTCCGGTGAGTAGAATCTTTACCTTCAGGCTTTTTGCAGTAAACACTGTCCTATCAGAGAAAATGCAGGGTTAACTCTGATGGCTACTAGAAGTGCTTCCTGGGGCAGTGCTACATACTGTGTGCAGTACTGCCATTCAGTGTCTCCACCCTTTGCATGCAGACACTGAACTTTCCGCATAGAGATGCATCTCAATGAGGAGATGCTGATTGGCCACAACTATGTTTGACTTGTGCTGACTCTGCCCCTGATCGGCCTCCTTGACAGTCTCAGCCAACCCTGTGTGAAAACATTGTGATTGGTTCACAGAGTCACTTCTGGTGTTGGTTTTAACACTATAGGGTCAGGAATACGTTTGTGCTCCTGCCCCTTTAGCAGTGATGGCTAACCTTGACACCATAAATGGTTTCTGGACTACATTTCCCATGATGCTCAGCTAGCTTTTAGCGTTTAAAAGCTAGCTGAGCATCATGGGAAATTTAGTCCAGAAACCATTTATGGTGTCAAGGTTAGCCACCACTGCCCTATAGTGTTCCTTTAACCCCTTAAGGACACATGACATGTGTGACATGTCATGATTCCCTTTTATTCCAGAACCCCTTAAGGGGTTAACATTTTCATGCAATATGCCTTTCTCTTTCACCCATTGGTCTGAAATAATACCATCTTGCTCTTGTATGGCTTTTTCTTCATTAATCATGTGGGCGTAAAGGTTTTAATACTACATAAACCTTGATGAATATTTTTAATTAGATTTTTAATAAATACAATTGTCATGTCAAACTATAAAAATATATTTTAAAAGGGCACTCTAAGTGTGGAAGAATTCTCGGGTCAGAGATGATGCATACTCCAGACACAGGTCGTTGAAGAACAAAGTCACATAAGCATTATACCGAGTAGGGATTATAGTATTAGTTATGGCACTGTAAATTTATGGGTGCCACTCCCTAGCTTTTTGTCAGACTATTTTGGAAAAGTCTGACAAAAAACAAGGCTCTCATTGGGTCTGAAAGCCTTGCAAGGTCTGAAATTCCTGGCATACGAGTGATGTCCACATTTTCAGTATTACAGAGTAGATTCCAGGATATGGGAGCCCCATTTTTATAGCAAACTAGTAGATCCCATCCTTAGCCTCATACATCCAAAACAGAGCTGTAGTGGTTATGGTACTTACAGCGTTTTAATTGTGATTTTATAAGTGTTGCGAAAAACGTTGCCATTTATTAGTAACATGACTACAATCAAAGTTTTTTTTGTTTTGTTTTTTCAAATGTATATAAATTTGACCTATATTTTGCAAGTTATTAATATCAAACGTAGATTACTGATTGGTGAATAAACCCTATACCAAGAAACATATTTAATTTACTTATTATGCATCTAAACCCTTTGCCGCGCGCATGTAGATACGCTGTTGTCTTTTTTCATCACTTTTAGGCGCATAGCAGCAACTAAGAAAAAGACAGCAGGATTTAGGCATATTTTAAGCATATTTTCCTTGTCATTTCAAAGATTACACTTTTATTGTGCAAGACAAAATGTCTTGGCAAAATCATGTGCATGTATAATGCAAAGAAGAGGGAAATACACATGAAAATAAGTAAGAAAAAGTTTCATTGCCTAAAGGAAAATGTACAGATTTCTGATGTTAGTTAAAGCCTAATGTTTTATTTGTCTTCATTTCAGTGCCCAAGGAGACAGACAATAGCATACAAAATGCTATACATAACAGAGAGGGACAGAGGTTAGACATAGAAGGTTAGACAATTTGACAAGTCTGCAGAATAAAACAATTCAAATGACAACATAAATATGTATATATTATTTTATAAGATATTAACATGCACAGAAATGTTACATCTCTATCCCTCCTTTTTCTTCATAAAGAGGTATTTCCAGAACCCACAGTCAAAGTTATCTGAAGTTTGTCATGGAGTGTGCGGAATCATAGTTCAATTCTCTACCCAAACAGTTGAGGGTTATAGTTTTAACTGGAGACTGGCAATTAGATCTCAGAATCATAGCTGCTAAATCAAACACGTCAACGTCTTAAGTATGAATATTCCAAGTGATGATGATGATGATGATGATGATGGTCTAAAACTAACCGTGTCATTAAAAAAACTATAAAGAAAGGATTTGATCTTATACAAATATTCAAAGTAACGTAACCACTACTTTTTGCTGCAGTGGTTATTACTCATTATCAAAGCAGTCAAGATCAAGATGGAGGCAGTTCCTGGGAGCCAGAAGAACCTTCCATTTATATCTAAGAGTAAATCGTTAACATTTCTGTTCTGTTGTAAGCATATGATTAAAAGGTTGCAGAATGCAATTTTAGGCATGAGCAAAAAACATCATTCAGTCGTTAAAACAAATCTTTTCAGTGGTTATTGGGTAATAGAAGCACAGCAATTGGCACCTCAACCCTTAACATATAAAGATAAGGAAACAGTTAGTGTACTCTGTGTGTGTGGGTGCTGTTAATGTGCTGTCTGTGTGTGTGTGAGGGTGCTGTTAGTATGAGGGTGCTGTGTGTGTAAGGGTGCTGTTAGTGTGAGGGTGCTATGTATGAGGGTGCTGTGTGTGTGAATTTGTTTGGAGTGATTGTGTGTGGGGGTGGGGGGGCAGATTAGGAAATAGCCCTTGCTGCCATCCCTGATCCTTGGTGGTCCTAGTGGTGAGTGAACTCTAGCCTGCAGGGCTAGAGTTCACTCTTGCGCGATCTGAGCATTGCCATGGAAAGGCTCCAACCTCGCGAGAGGAACCCCGTGGAGCTGCTGGCAAGAGCTCCCTGGGTCCTCTCCTGCCTCCCTCCCTGCCTGTGGGCCGGTGATGGAGATCTTGGATCTCCCCTCTGGCCCATGGAGGCACACAGCGAGGGCCGGTGCTCGGATGGTGCTGGGTCTGCATGGGCCAACAAGGGAGATCCTACCCAGGCACACCCAGCACACCCAGTGCGCACGCCTGTGGTCTAAATGTATAGTAACGTTTATTGTACAGTAACTGCCATTTCAGAAAAATATATTTCTACGTGGTTCTAAATAGTGCATGATTAAACATCAAATGAAAACCAATTCCAAATAATCTAATCTTAACTGGACTTGACTCGCCACAGATATCAGAGTCTAAAACTAGCTTAATCCTGTCAGCACTGCAACTAAAATAAAACATGGAATCCCGATTCTCCACTTTAGTGCTAAAAAATATTAATATACTAAAATACATAATATATGCATACAGGGCTGGATTAAGAGCCCATTGGGCTGGTGTTGAAAATGATGTTAGGCCTAATTACAGAATCTTATCAACAGAAAACAGTAAAACAGTTATACCTGAGTAAAATTATAGATCAGGGTGGTGCAGTAGACATTGCTTACCTAGATTTCAGTAAGGCTATTGACACTGTTGCACATAGAAGGCTTATCAATAAACTGCAATCTTTAAGTTTGGATTGCAATATTGTTGAATGGGTAAGGCAGTGGCTGAGTGATAGGCAACAGAGGGTTGTAGTTAATGGAATATATTCGAAGCTTGGACTTGCCACCAGTGGGGTACCTCAGGGATCTGTACTTGGACCCATTCTCTTTAATATTTTTATTAGTGATATTGCAGAAGGTCTTGATGGTAAGGTATGTCTTTTTGCTGATGATACTAAGATATGTAACAGGGTTGATGTTCCAGGAGGGATAAGCCAAATGGCAAATGATTTAGGTAAACTAGAAAAATAGTCAGAGTTGTGGCAACTGACATTTAATGTGGATAAGTGCAAGATAATGCATCTTGGATGTAAAAACCCAAGGGCAGAGTACAGAATATTTGATAGAGTTCTAACCTCAACATCTGAGGAAAGGGATTTAGGGGTGATTATTTCTGATGACTTAAAGGTAGGCAGACAATGTAATAGAGCAGCAGGAAATGCTAGCAGAATGCTTGGTTGTATAGGGAGAGGTATTAGCAGTAGAAAGAGGGAAGTGCTCATGCCATTGTACAGAACACTGGTGAGACCTCACTTGGAGTATTGTACACAGTACTGGAGACCGTATCTTCAGAAGGATATTGATACCTTAGAGAGGGTTCAGAGAAGGGCTACTAAACTGGTTCATGGATTGCGGGATAAAAACTTACCAGGAAAGGTTAAAGGAACGTAACATGTATAGCTTGGAGGAAAGAAGAGACGGGGGGTTATGATAGAAACATTTAAATGCATAAAAGGAATCAACACAGTAAAGGAGGAGACTATATTTAAAAGAAGAAAAACTACCACAACAAGAGGACATAGTCTTAAATTAGAGGGACAAAGGTTTAAAAATAATATCAGGAAGTATTACTTTACTGAGAGGGTAGTGGATGCATGGAATAGCCTTCCAGCTGAAGTGGTAGAGGTTAACACAGTAAAGGAGTTTAAGCATGTGTGGGATAAGCATCAGACTATCCTAGCTATAAGATAAGGCCAGGGCCTAATGAAAGTGTTTAGAAAATTGGGCAGACTAGATGGGCGAAATGGTTCTTATCTGCCGTCACACTCTATGTTTCTATTATGTGCTAGCTCTACGCTTCTGTAACGAGAATATACCCCAACACGCAGGATTTAGCTAAACAAAAGACAACACAGAGGAGAGATACGTCTACCGGACCTTAGAATGGCCGGACTCGACGTATATGAGAGGAGACAGAGTCAGGAACAATCCGAAATCAAGGGCACAGAGAGACAGCGTAAACTAGGACAAGCCGGGGTCTGGTACACAGTAAACAACAAGCCGACAACCAGAACAGATAAGGATAAAGAGAAAACGTAGTCAGAAACAAAGCCAAGGTCAATACGGAGAAACACAACTGAACACAACAAGCGCTAAAGGGAACTGATACAGAAACCACGATAGGGCAAGGAACAAAGGAAAGAAGGTGAGTATAAATACCTAAACATCTACTTTGATTGGTCCCTGTCACATCCACGCCCCCAAAAGGTAAGTGTATGGGGAGTGTGGCATGACAGGGACCAATGGGATGCCTTTTCCAATTTAGGCACCCACTGTCCCTTTAAGAGCGCGCCCGATACCCGCGGCGCGCTCTTAGAGTAGGTGGAACATGTGACCGCTACTAGTCACAGCGGTCGGCTGAGCCGCGCGCGGCTCGTGCAGCAGCAGGACCGCGCGCGGCTCGAACAGAGGACCCCGGCCGGCCCCTGGAAAGGGTAAGTACCGCTACATTACCCCCCCCTGAGGACACGCCCTCCGGGCGGGGAGGGCCAGGCCTGGCAGGAAAACGAGAATGGAAAGAGCGCACAAGACGAGGAGCGTGAACCGCGTCAGCGGAAATCCAACTATGCTCCTCAGGCCCATAGCCCTTCCAATGCACTAGGTACTGAAGTCGGCCCCTAAGGAAACGAGAGTCAAGAACTGCAGAAACTTCAAATTCCTCATGACCCTCCACAGAAACAGGAGGGGGAGGAGGTGCATGTCGGGTGTAGCGGTTGCGTACGAAAGGCTTCAACAACGAGGTGTGAAAGACATTAGGAATACGCAGATTCTTAGGGAGACCCAAGGCATACGAAACAGGATTAACCTTATGCAGAATACGATAAGGACCAATAAAGCGGGGAGCCAATTTCATAGAAGGCACCCGGAGGCGAATGTTTCGCGTAGAAAGCAGAACCCTGTCCCCCACAACATAAGAAGGAGCCGCCCTGCGATGCTTGTCAGCCTGCACCTTCTGGCGAGCAGCGGAATCCACCAAAGAACGCTGAACCTGCTCCCAAGTATTACGCAAATTAGCCAAATGTTCATCCAGAACTGGCATGCCCTGTGAGGAGAAAGCAGCCGGAAGAACAACAGGATGTTGGCCATATACAACGTAAAAAGGACTCTTGCCGGAAGAATCATGAGTAGCGTTATTCCGAGCAAACTCAGCCCAAGGAAGAAGGTCAGACCAATTGTTCTGATGGTGGGATACGAAACAACGAAGGTACTGCTCCAGAGATTGATTGGCACGTTCGGCAGCTCCATTAGACTGGGGGTGGTAAGCGGAAGAAAATGAGAGAGAAATACCCATTTCCAAACAAAAGGCTTTCCAGAACCTGGAAATAAATTGGCTACCCCTGTCAGATACAATAGATACGGGAATGCCGTGTAATCGAAACACCTCTCTGGCGAAAACAAGTGCTAGTTCCCTGGACGTGGGCAACTTGTGAAGAGACACAAAGTGAGCCATCTTGGAAAACCGATCCACTATCATTAGGATAACTGTGTTACCATTCGAGGGAGGTAATTCAACAATAAAATCCATGGACAGGTTAGACCAAGGTCTCTCGGGAATAGGTAACGGATGCAACAGCCCACAAGGAACCCTACGAGAAGATTTCATACAGGCACAAGTAGTACAAGCACCTATATAGTCAGTGACATCCTTGCGTAAGGAATCCCACCAAAAATACCGAGAAACTGCTGACACCGTTTTGGAAATACCAGGATGTCCAGCAGTCTTAGTGTCATGATACAACGACAGAATCTCCCGTCTCTCGGGAACATCAACGAATAGTTTATCAGTAGGTCTCTCGCTAGGTGCCATGTTTTGTTTCGCTTGTATGGCCTGCAAGAGGGACGAAGAAATAGACAAAACAGTGGTAGCGATTATCCTTTCTGGGGGAATCACAGGAGTAACATCAATCTCCTGTTTGTCAGCAGTTTCGAACTGTCTGGACAGAGCGTCTGCTTTAGTGTTGCGGTCACCTGGCCTATAGGTGATAATGTAATTGAAATGGGACAAAAATAGTGACCACCTAGCCTGCCGAGAAGACAGTCTTTTAGCCTCACTAAGGTAGGATAGGTTCTTATGATCCGTAAATATGAGAATAGGATCTTTAGTTCCTTCTAACAAATGTCTCCATTCTTTCAGTGCTAAAATAATAGCAAGGAGTTCGCGATTACCCACATCATAATTCTTTTCTGCTTTGGACATTTGTTTGGAGAAGAAGCCACAAGGATGCAATGGCTTTTCAGGCGACTCTCTTTGGGATAAGACAGCACCTACCCCGATATCAGAAGCATCAACTTCAAGAATATAGGGCAGTGTGGGGATAGGGTGCTGTAAAATAGGTGCAGAAGCGAATGTGGTTTTAAGAAACTCAAAAGCCTGAAGTGCCTCGGGAGACCAGACACGAGTATTGCCTCCCTTTCTTGTCATACGGGTGATAGGCGCTACAATAGAGGAAAAACCTTTAATAAAGCGTCTATAATAATTAGAGAAACCAAGAAAACGCTGAATGGCTTTCAAACCTTGTGGAAGAGGCCATTCCATGACAGCAGAAAGCTTCTGGGGATCCATACGAAAACCTTTAGCGGAAATTAAATACCCCAAAAACTGGACTTCGGATTGGTCAAATAGACATTTTTCCAGTTTACAATAAAGACCATTAGCAAGAAGGGTCTTCAGAACTGTCGTAACATGCCTGTGATGAGTGTGTAAATCTGTAGAATATATTAATATGTCGTCTAAGTACACAATTACAAATGTGTGAATAAAGTCTCTTAAAACGTCATTGATAAATTCTTGAAATACTGCTGGGGCATTGCATAGACCAAATGGCATAACAGTATACTCGTAATGGCCAGATCTAGTGTTGAATGCCGTTTTCCATTCGTGGTCTTTCTTAATACGTATTAAATTGTATGCACCTCTAAGATCCAATTTAGTGAATACAGTAGCATGTTTGAGTCTGTCAAATAATTCCGTGATTAAAGGTATAGGATATGCATTTTTGATGGTGATTTTATTTAGACCTCTATAATCGATACACGGTCTTAAATCACCTTCTTTCTTTGATACAAAGAAGAACCCCGCTCCAGCCGGAGAAGAGGATCTCCTAATAAACCCCTTTTCTAATGATTCCTTAATATACTCCTCCATGACACGGTTTTCTTGAACAGATAAAGGGTACACCCTGCCCTTTGGAGGTATTGTGCCAGGCAATAAATCGATAGCACAATCGTAGGGTCTGTGAGGTGGTAATTTGTCAGCCTCCCTTTTATCGAAGACAGTTTTGAGAAATAAGTACTGAGAGGGTATAACAGTGGACAAAGGAGGAGTTGTAGGGACATTAATAGAATTCAAAGGGGTGACTTCAATAGTACAGGACTCATGGCAGGCATCGCTCCATGATTTTATTTGCCCTGACTCCCAATCGAAAATGGGATTGTGAGTACATAACCATGGGTACCCTAACACAATGTGAGAAGAGGGAGATGTGATAACCTGGAATCGAATGATTTCAAAGTGTAAAACCCCTGTATACATGTGTAATGGTACAGTTTCATGAGTAACAATTGGAGAACTTAATGGTCTACCATCTATGGCCTCAATGGCCAAGGGTATCTCCCTTTCTCTGACGGGAATGTTATTTTTCGTAACAAACTCAGAGTCAATAAAGTTCTCAGCAGCCCCAGAATCAACCAAGGCTAATATGCATTCTGCTATACAACTCACCCCCATATGAAGGGAAACAGGGAGAAGCAAACGATTAGGAGGCAATTTAGGAGACTTAGAGATCACACCCAAGGCCAGTCCCCTATAAGGTCTTAGGTGCGAGAGTTTTCCGGACGCAAAGGACATTCCCTTACCATATGGTCTCGCCTACCACAGTATAGGCAGAGTCCATTCCTTCTTCTAAGTAGTTTTTCAGTATCCGAGAGTTTGGCAACCCCTAATTGCATGGGTTCCTCCTCGGGTACTTTAACACTCTCAGGTTTATCAACTCTAGGGTTAATAGATGTGACCAGACGTCTATTCTTGTTTTTGGTATAGAGCCTGTCGCGAATTCTATTATCTATATCAATGAGGTAGTCAATAAGATCCTCTAATGGGATAGGAAGCTCCCTTGCCGCTACCTCATCTAATATAGTGTCAGATAAACCTTCCATGAACGCAGTAGTTAACCCATTATTGGTCCAATCTACCTGTGAGGCAAGGGTACGAAACTGAATAGCATAATCCGCCACAGACCTAGACCCCTGTTTAATCCTCATTAATGCTCTTGCGGCATTCTTTGACCTCTTTGTTGTGTCAAAAGTTCTACGAAAAGCCGCAAGAAAACTATTGAAATCATGAACCACAGGTCCATTGGCCTCCCAAATAGGATTTGCCCACTCTAGTGCTTTGTCAGTAAGTTGATGCATCAAAAACCCCACTTTAGACCTATCAGTGGGAAAGGAATGAGGATACATCTCAAGGTGGAATTCTATTTGATTAATAAAACCTCTGCATGTCTTGGCTTCCCCTCCATACCTAGGAGGAGGTGTTAAATGGGGCGAAGCATTGGTTGAATTGGATACTTCGGGAGGATGAGGTGTAGGAGGGTTCGGTGCGGTTGCAGGAATGGTTCTAGACAAGAGCGTCTGGAGAGCCTGTGCTATCTGATCCATACGGTGATCCTGCTCTACAAACCTTGCCTCGTGAGAAGCCATTTGCTGAGCCAAATCTGCGGGGTCCATGGCCCTATCGTAATGTAACGAGAATATACCCCAACACGCAGGATTTAGCTAAACAAAAGACAACACAGAGGAGAGATACGTCTACCGGACCTTAGAATGGCCGGACTCGACGTATATGAGAGGAGACAGAGTCAGGAACAATCCGAAATCAAGGGCACAGAGAGACAGCGTAAACTAGGACAAGCCGGGGTCTGGTACACAGTAAACAACAAGCCGACAACCAGAACAGATAAGGATAAAGAGAAAACGTAGTCAGAAACAAAGCCAAGGTCAATACGGAGAAACACAACTGAACACAACAAGCGCTAAAGGGAACTGATACAGAAACCACGATAGGGCAAGGAACAAAGGAAAGAAGGTGAGTATAAATACCTAAACATCTACTTTGATTGGTCCCTGTCACATCCACGCCCCCAAAAGGTAAGTGTATGGGGAGTGTGGCATGACAGGGACCAATGGGATGCCTTTTCCAATTTAGGCACCCACTGTCCCTTTAAGAGCGCGCCCGATACCCGCGGCGCGCTCTTAGAGTAGGTGGAACATGTGACCGCTACTAGTCACAGCGGTCGGCTGAGCCGCGCGCGGCTCGTGCAGCAGCAGGACCGCGCGCGGCTCGAACAGAGGACCCCGGCCGGCCCCTGGAAAGGGTAAGTACCGCTACAGCTTCCTAAGAACTGTCCCCTAGCACTTTCTGGTCCACTCCTCTCCTAACCTTCTTACTAGCATGTCGAAGCTCCTGTTATACAGTTTGGGACAGAGAAAAGGTGTATGTAGTGAGTGTAGAAGAAAGGGGACATTCCACAGTGTTAGAGAGACTGAAGCAGCAAGAGTATTTGCATAGTGTAAGCTTTATCTTAACTAAGTTCATTGTCAGCCAATCCACACCAGTTTTGTTCCCCTACATCCCTCTTAAGTTTTCATACTTAAGCAGGAGCTTGTGAAGAGCAGAAAACAAAAAAAATCAATGGGCCTGGACCTGCAGCTCCATCAGCCTCTATGTTAATTCGGTCCTGTGTACATATATGTGACAAGACTAATCTCGCCACTGTGCATTGGAGGAGCCTGGTTGCCCGCCTGCTGCCTTTGGCCCTATGTTGAAATGCTTGATTTTCCCCAGCAAAGACACGAAAGCCGGGTCATTCGGTGCTTGCCCTGTTTGAGCGGTGATACCCCAGATAGCTATGCCATGGAGCCCATTCATATAATGAAAGACTATGGGAAAGACTTTGGCTCCATGGCAATTGAACTGTATGTGTGTGATCTGGGAACCATTCAGTAATAATGCGCTCAGATCTGTTTTATGCAATGGCTGCACAGTTATATATTTTTATGTATTTTATTATCTTTTGCTGCCATGTGTTCAATGGAGTTTTGCCTCTGTCCTTGGAGATAATTGGATTACTTCCCAATTATCTCCAGGATAGAAGACTCTGTGGAACTGTTTTGGGCAGAAAAGCCATGCTTCATTTGGTCACAAAGGACTACGAACCTTTTGAACCAATGGACCAATTTGTATGATTTTGACGTATGTTTGGAGTATGCTGATTCTGAAAATGTAAGTTTTATGTGAATGTGATGCATACGTTTAAATTTACGAATAATGTGGGAAAACTGTATTTCTCTGCCTGTGATAATTACATTACCTGTTGTGTAAGGTAATTGTATCACAGGCAGAGAGGAGGATTTTGTGTGGGAGTGTCTGAGTGTATTGTACGTGTTTATTGGTTGTTTTCCAAAAAGCAATATGGATAGCAACCAATAGAGAAGCATTTGATTGTCAAAGATCATCCATCATTATGATCTCAACAGTAGGAGAAATGGTTGTCATGACTAAGTAAAAGACGAGTAAAACATCTGAATAGTTTATTATCTTTTTGTGAATTCCATACACACCTTAGTAGTTTTTATTTTGTTTCCACTGCTGCAGGACCAGCCTGTAAGATCCGGTAATACTTTGCAATCTTCACCTTCCATACAGGGGTTCATCTGACACCACCATTTGTGAGCAACAATAGAAGCTAAAAGCAAAAAAGAAAACAGAAAAAAAAAAAAAATTATTATGTAATTCAGCTGACACCTTGCCATGTCCAACCAAATTAAAAAACAAAGTAAATATAAACGAAAAGTCACAGAGAAAAGGTAAAACCACTATAATTACAATGTTATTTAAATAGCAGCAATAGATCTACCTATAGTGAGTGCATTCAGGCATGACTTTTGCGCAGCAGAAAATTACAAGACATCATTTTGTTACACTAAATAATTACTAGTTCAAAGACACGTTCCAATGTGCAAAATTCATAGCTTGCCATCAGCAATACTGACATACTATAATTTTAATAATCTTTCAAATAAAAGATAAAGCAGGTTCATTTTTAGAAATGCAGAAAAACTACCGTGCTAACGAACTGCTGTTTGGTAAAAAAAAAAAAAAGTCTCCAGTGTTTGCATGTTTTTTAGAAATTCCTATTTTTTTTTCTATTACGACCTGCTAGCAGCAAATACTTTGGGGACCAATTCACTAAACAGTAAATTTAATAACCACATTTAGGTCAAAATAGCAGCAGTTCTCCAGCTGGGTTATATTAACCAACATTTTGCAAGTCAGGATTTAGTGAATAGAGCCTAGTTTTTTGTTTTTTTATTTAACAAATAATGTTGTTTAGAGTTTGCCCAAACTATATTGTGTAATTTTTGTTTATGCTGTTGATATAGAGCAGGGGTGTCCAAAAGAAACATCCCCAGCTGCTGAAGAATTACAAGTTCCATGGATGCTTTGGCAGTGTTACGGTAATTAGAGCATCATGGGAAAAGTAGTTCTGCAACAACTGAGAATCTATCTTTCTGGCACTCCTGGTATAAAGGGTGATAATTTTACTCACTGAAAATTGCAATTTGATAGACACTCTAAAAAATAACCAGGTTAGCTGATGACCAAGAGACCTACTCATGTTTTGACCTTGTTTTTATGTTGGGCACGGAGTTTGTGAGAGGACAGAGGGTAAGACGTGCTTTAGTTGAATATAGATTTTTTTTACTAAATGAAGTGAGGAAGTATGAGATGGTAGGGAACGAAGGTCAAGATTTCCCTTGCAGGCACACTTCCCGCTAAAGAGATGACCACATCTGTCTCCAGTGCGCTGTGTGCACTAACGACAGACGTACATTTGGAACAGAATTGACATTAGGCAGCCTGGAAGAGTGTAACTAGTCCTTCGGCTAAGAAACAGAAGTTGTCATGGTTGTTGGAGTAATCTTCCAATTAACCTTTGATTAAAATAATGTAAAATCCTCCAACAATAATGGTAAATGCATGGCTAAAATAGCCATACTGGAAACATACTCCAAGTTAGGTTACTATGGCTTTACATTTAAATTCCCAACAATACTCATTTTAGTGAATAACCGTGAAAGTCTAGTTCAGGCTAAATGTCTTTAGCCAATTGTAAATTGGACATGTCGTTGGTTGTGTGGTCAGATGCATTACTATAGTAACATCCTTTTCTGACCAAAGTGCCGTCCAGAGTTAACAGCTTCAATGATAAAGCTCGAACGCTGGTTTGCTATACCATATTATCATATTATTGACTGGGTTAGTCACTGAAGTGAGAACTGCCAGGAATTTCAAGTTAATTTAAAATTTAAGGCCAAAATATTCAAATTGAAAAACGTCTCTAAGTTAATTCTGTTTTCAGTCTGGATATTTTGTCCCTAAATTTGAAATTCACCTTGAATTCACTTTTCACATTAGAATAACTCTTTTAGAGGCAAAACACCTGCTCTGTGATTTGCCTGTAACCAAGTGAAAATGTAAAACATAAATAAAAAGAACAAAACATATTTTAGCAGTTTTTCTTCACAAGACCAGATTGTTACACAAAAAAATAAAGATATAGAACTTCAAAAAGCATGAAAGTAAAATTTCTTTTCAGTGGTTAAAACACTCCATCTTGCAGCCTTGGTAGGGGGTCCAGGATGTTGCACAGATGAGCACGCTGTGAGCATGTGTGCTTATATCAGTATCTTCTTACAAGATAGTATACCTGTGGCTAAGTGAAAATTAAATGAGGCCATGCTAAGGGGTTTATTCACTAAACAGTGACTTATGGTGAATTTATATTTGCTACATTTATGCCAAAGTAACAAAGTTACTGGGAAAACAGCAAAGCATGATGACAATTATAGTTACATCCATCAGATTGAATCTAGAAATAGGAGCGTCCTTTGTGGATCCTTATTGCTAAAGTTGGATGGGGTGTGTTAATGGAGGCTTCATCTTAAGAGTCATTCTATTATTGCAAATATATATATATATATATGAGCAGGCATACGTATGCTAGAGTAGGACCTGCCAAGAATGGGGTACGTTGACGTTGTAGCAGGCTTATGATGATCATATACTGTAAGTAAAGCCCCATTATTTTTGCCTAGGTGAGGTGTTTTTAAATAAAACTATTAAATTCTGTAAAACATCAAATTGCTGTTTAGTGGATAAGCATGTGCACTAGATCTTGTATATTGTTTAAATTGGCACCAGCAGCACCCTATAATGTATGTTCAGGTGAGTGCAGCCCTCTTGGTTTCATTTATTTATATTTGGGAGTCCAGGCCAACTCCTTGGTTTTGTCACAGGTGCCTCATTCAAGGGCCCTATTTAACCTTGTGTGAAGGTAGTTGGGATAGTGTAGGAAGAAACCCCTTTTACTTAGAGCAACTTACCCAGAATAACTTGGCACAAGACGTAAATTGTGACAAACAGGCCACAGCTTTATTTAAAACAATACCATTATTAACATAACACATTAACATGACATTCATTTACTGCAACTTCCATTACCAGATCCTTGCCAATCATTTAACATAACCTGGGCACTTGCCGGCCATCCAGGCGCGGGCCGGCCGACCCAGAAGCAGCCTGCACCCGCATCAGTTGTGCCTGCAGCTGCACACCACCATCCTGCAAGGCCTCTGCCCTAAAAGCTTGCAAAATACCTTCCACATTCAAAGACCCTAGCCGAATGTAGCTGGGGAACACCAAGGGAAGCTGTTCCCAAGCCGGATAATTAAGATGGCTGAGGGTAACAGAAAATGGCTCCCTCTATGTATATGGCCACTCCCCTTAACTTAGGCTTCCCCATTACCTCCAGGACACCTCCTTTCTTTAAACTGATTACACCTCCCCCCCCACCCCCCAACTCACACATGTCCCTGTTCCCAGCTAGCCCTTTGATCTGCCTCCTCAGGGTCTTGACCTGTAGGGTGTCCCAGGAGGAAATATTTCCTAAGTAAGTGGAATAATCTCATAAGAGCAAGCATTAGGTTGTTACAGTTGGACCTGCCAAGAATGGGGTACATTGACGTTGTGGGAAGCTAATGCATTGGTATGATCATATACTGTAACTAAACACCCATTGTTTTTGCCTTGGTGAGGTATTTTTAAATAAAACTACTACAATCTGTGAGACTTGAAATCGCTGTTTAGTGAATAAGCGAGTGCACTGGATCTTATACGCTGTGTGTGTGTGTGTATAACATTAATTTTATTTTTTAATAATTTATTTATTTTAATGAAATCTTCCGTAATACACTGCACATGTAGTTTTAACTTTGTATTGTTAAAAAAAAAAGTGATTTTATGCATCTGTGTATAATTAAAACCATTAATTGTGTTAGAAATATGATACTTTTTACTTTATCTCTGTCACTACAATCCTGAGAACTTTGTAAATAAGCTGTCACTGAACCTTTAAAATATAAACCTTTCGACAGGACAATCCTGGGTGAATTTTGTCTATAATAACATTAATTAAATTTCTGTATATCAAAAATACTCACATTTTAAGTGCCTGCATTCTCAGTAGTTGCATCAACTTCAATGAGCTCTGAACAAACCAAGAAGTGACTAAACTTTCTATAGCACTGATTTTATATGTTAAGAGTACTTTATGAGAACAGCAAGGATTTAGGGGAACTGTAAAAAAAATACTATGTACAGGCACTCTTTTATCCGTGTTGGTGCAAAGTATCGAGGTGGCCAAAGTACCTCAAAGTCTACAGAATACAAAAAAATAATGATACTGCACTCAAAAATTCAGAATAAAGTTCATTACTGAATTTAATAATCATTAATTAATTAGGTATAATTCATTAGTTGTGAAATACTACAAAGTTAGAAAAATTGGAAAAGTTGGAATTGGATTCATTATAATTCATTAGTTGTGAAATACTACAAAGTTAGAAAAATTGGAAAAGTTGGAATTGGAATTGTTTTTTTCCAATTTTTCTAACTTTGTAGTATTTCACAACTAATGAATTATACCTAATTAATTAATGATTATTAAATTCAGTAATGAACTTTATTCTGAATTTTTGAGTGCAGTATCATTATTTTTTGTATTCTTTAGGGGAACTGTAGTTCAGTTGTCTCCTTCTGCTAGACAAAGCTAACAAATGAACTAAAACTCCTAGCAACCTAATCCATTACATTATGTACTGCAGTATTTTTTAGAGAAAATGTTAAACGTTAGGGAAGCTAAAGGGACACTATAGTCACCAAAACAATTTTAGCTTAATGAAGCAGTATTTGGTTATAGATCATGCCTCTGAAGTTTCACTGCTCAATTCACTGCCATTTAGGAGTTAAATCACTTTTGTTTCTGTTTATCCAGCCCTAGCTACACCCCCCTGGCTTTGACTCACATAGTCTGCATAAAAACCAAATGGTTTCATTCTTTAATCAGATGTAACTTACTTTAAAAGGTTTTATCTCCTGCTCTGTAATTTGAACGTTAATTACATACACAAGTCTCCTGCAAGGTCTAGCAAGCTATTAGCAGAGCAGTAGGTAAGAAATTCTAAATTAAACAGAATTTGCAACAAAGGAAGTGTAAACATTAGATGACTCTCTACAGGAAGTGTTTAAGAAGGCTGTGTAAGTCACATGCACGGAGGCGTGCCTAGAGCTGCATAGACAAATGGCAGAGAATTGAGCAGTAAAACTGCAGGGGCATGATATATACACCAACACTGCTTCATTAAGCTACAGTTGTTTTGGTGACTATAGTGTCCCTTTAAGAATAGAATGAACAGAGGGATGCTGGCAACTTTTAACCTGAGGCAAGCATAAATTATGGGTCTTTTTTAGCACACAAAACTTATGGATATCTGTGTAGATGGTGCTACTTACTGTAGCGTTACTTACCTTAACCGGGGGCCGGTCGCGGTCCTCTCTTCAAGCCGCACGCGGTCCTGCGGCTGCACGAGCCGCGCGCGGCTCATCCAACTACTTCGGATGGAGGGCGGGCAGTGACCGCGTGAGGCGGTCACGTGTCCCGCCTGAAACTAAGAGCGCGCCGCGAGTCTCGGGCGCGCTCTTAAAGGGACAGTGGGTGCCTAAATTGGAAAAGGCATCCCATTGGTCCCTGTCATGCCACACTCCCCATACACTTACCTTTTGGGGGCGTGGATGTGACAGGGACCAATCAAATTAGATGTTTAGGTATTTATACTCACCTTCTTCCCTTTGTTCCTTGCCCTATCGTGGTTTCTGTTTCAGTTCCCTTTAGCGCTTGTGGTGTTCAGTTGTGTTTTCTCGTATTGACTTTGGCTTCGTATTCTGACTTCGTTTTCGCTTTATCCTTATCTGTACTGTTTGCCGGCTTGCTGTTTTCCGTGTACCAGACCCCGGCTTGTCCTAGTTTACGCTGTCTCTCTGTGCCCTTGACCTCGGTTTGTTCCTGGCTCTGTCTTCTCTCATATACGTCAAGTCCGGCCATTCTAAGGTCCGGTAGACGTATCTCTCCTCTGTATTTGCCTCTGTTTAGCTGGATCCTGCGTGTAGGGGTATATTCTCGTTACATTACGATAGGGCCATGGACCCCGCAGATTTAGCTCAACAGATGGCGTCCCATGAGGCAAGATTTGTAGAGCAGGATCACCGTATGGATCAAATAGCTCAGGCTCTCCAGACGCTCCTAGCTAGAACCGTTCCAGCAACTACACCTAACCCTCCTACGCCCCTTCTCCCTGAAGTATCTACTTTGCCTAATACTTCGGCCCATTTAACACCTCCTCCTAGGTATGGAGGGGACTCTAAGACTTGCAGAGGGTTTATTAATCAGATTGAATTTCACTTTGAAATGTATCCACGTTCATTTCCCACAGAGAGGTCTAAGGTTGGGTTCTTTATGCACCAACTTACCGATAAGGCACTTGAGTGGGCAAATCCTATTTGGGAAGCTAATGGGCCTATGGTACATGATTTCAACAGTTTTCTTACGGCTTTTCGTAGAACTTTTGACACAATGAAAAGGTCAAAGAATGCCGCAAGAGCATTAATGAGAATTAAACAGGGTTCTAGGTCTGTGGCTGATTATGCTATTCAGTTTCGCACTCTTGCTTCGCAGGTAGATTGGACCAACAATGGGTTAACTACTGCCTTTATGGAAGGTTTGTCAGATACGATATTGGATGAGGTAGCAGCTAAGGAGCTTCCTATTGCCTTAGAGGACCTTATCGATTACCTCATTGATATTGATAATAGAATTCGTGACAGGCTCTATACCAAGAACAGGAATAGATGTTTTGTTACACCCATTAACCCCAGAGTTAATATACCAGAGAGTGTTAAAGTGTCTGAGGAGGAACCTATGCAATTAGGGGTTGCCAAACTCTCTGATACTGAGAAATTACATAGGAGAAGGGAGGGACTCTGCCTATACTGTGGTAGGAGAGACCATATGGTAAAGGAATGTCCTTTACTCCCGGAAAACTCTCGCACCTAAGACCTTATAGGGGACTGGCCTTGGGTGTGATATCTAAGTCTCCTAAATTGCCTCCTAACCGCTTGCTTCTCCCGGTTTCTTTATATATGGGAGAGATTTGTATAGTTGACAACATATATGCTCTGGTTGACTCTGGGGCAGCTGAAAATTTTATAGACTCTGGCTTTATAAAGAGAAACAACATTCCCATCAGAGAGAAGGAGATACCCTTGGCCGTTGAGGCCATAGATGGTAGACCATTAAGTTCTCCAGTTGTTACTCATGAGACTGAACCACTACACATGTACACAGGGGTTTTACACTTCGAAACCATTCGATTCCAGGTTATCACCTCTCCCTCTTCACAGTTAGTATTAGGGTATCCATGGTTACGTGCTCACAATCCCATTTTTGACTGGGAGACAGGGCAAATAAAATCATGGAGTAAGGCCTGCCACGAGTCTTGTACGTTGGAAGTCACACCTTTGAATTCTATTGAGGTACCTACCAGTCCTCCTTTGTCTATGGTTATACCCCCTCAGTATTTATCTCTAAAGACTGTTTTCGATAAAAGGGAGGCTGAGAAATTACCGCCTCACAGACCCTATGATTGCGCTATTGACTTGTTGCCTGGCACTATACCTCCAAAGGGCAGGGTGTACCCCTTATCGGTTCAAGAAAACCGTGTCATGGAGGAGTACATCAAGGAATCATTAGAAAAAGGGTTTATTAGGAGATCCTCTTCTCCAGCTGGAGCAGGGTTCTTCTTTGTATCGAAGAAAGAAGGTGATTTAAGACCGTGTATAGATTATAGAGGTCTAAACAAAATCACTATCAAAAATGCATACCCTATACCTTTGATTACAGAATTATTTGACAGGCTGAAACATGCCACTGTGTTCACTAAATTAGACCTTAGGAATGCATACAATTTGATACGTATAAAGGAAAATCACGAATGGAAGACTGCATTCAACACTAGATCCGGTCATTACGAATACACTGTTATGCCATTTGGGCTTTGCAATGCCCCAGCAGTATTCCAAGAATTTATTAATGATGTATTGAGAGATTTTATTCACACATTTGTTATCGTATACTTGGACGACATTTTAATATATTCTGCAGATATACACACTCATCACAGACATGTTACGACAGTTTTGAAGACCCTTCTTGCTAATGGTCTTTATTGCAAGCTAGAAAAATGTCTGTTTGACCAAACTGAAGTCCAGTTCTTGGGGTATTTGATTTCCGCTAAAGGTTTTCGTATGGATCCCCAGAAGCTTGCTGCTGTAATAGAATGGCCTCTACCGCAAGGTCTGAAAGCTATTCAGCGTTTTCTTGGGTTCTCCAATTATTATAGACGTTTTATCAAAGGTTTCTCGTCCATTGTAGCACCTATTACCCGTATGACTAAAAAGGATGGCAATACTCGTGTTTGGTCTACCGAGGCACTTCAGGCTTTTGAATTTCTTAAAACTACGTTCGCCTCTGCACCTATTTTACAGCATCCTGTCCCCTCACTGCCCTATATTCTTGAAGTTGATGCTTCGGATATTGGGGTAGGTGCTGTCTTGTCCCAAAGAGAGTCGCCTGAGAAGCCATTGCATCCATGTGGCTTCTTTTCTAAACAAATGTCCAAAGCAGAGAAAAATTATGATGTGGGTAATCGTGAACTCCTTGCTATTATTTTAGCACTTAAAGAGTGGAGACATTTGTTAGAGGGAACTAAGGATCCTATCCTCATTTTTACGGATCACAAGAACCTATCCTATCTTAGCGAAGCCAAAAGATTGTCTTCCAGGCAGGCTAGGTGGTCACTATTTTTGTCTCGTTTCAATTTTATTATCACCTATAGGCCAGGTGATCGCAACACTAAAGCAGACGCTCTGTCCAGACAGTTCGAAACTACTGACAAACAGGAGATTGATGTTACTCCTGTCATTCCCCAGACAGGATAATAGCTACTACTATTTTGTCTATTTCCTCGTCCCTCTTGCAGGCCATACAAGCGAAACAAAGCATGGCACCTAGCGAGAGGCCTAATGATAAACTGTTCGTTGATGTTCCTGAGAGACGGGATATTATGTCATTATATCATGATACTAAGACCGCTGGACATCCTGGTATTTCCAAAACGGTGTCAGCTGTTTCTCGGTATTTTTGGTGGGATTCCTTACGAAAGGATGTCACTGACTATATAAGTGCTTGTACTACTTGTGCCTGTATGAAATCCTCCCGTAGAGTTCCTTGTGGGCTGTTGCATCCGTTACCCGTTCCCGAGAGACCTTGGTCTAACCTGTCCATGGATTTTATTGTTGAATTACCCCCTTCAAATGGTAACACAGTAATCCTGATGATAGTGGATCGGTTCTCCAAAATGGCTCACTTCGTGTCTCTTCACAAGTTGCCCACATCCAAGGAACTGGCTCATATCTTCGCTAGAGAAGTATTTCGATTACATGGGATTCCCGTATCTATTGTATCCGATAGGGGTAGCCAATTTATTTCCAGGTTCTGGAGGGCCTTTTGTTCAGAAATGGGTATTTCTCTCTCATTTTCTTCCGCTTATCATCCCCAGTCTAATGGGGCTGCTGAACGTGCCAACCAGTCTCTGGAGCAATACCTCCGTTGTTTTGTGTCTCACCATCAGGACAATTGGTCTGACCTGCTTCCTTGGGCTGAATTTGCTCGGAATAACGCCACTCATGATTCTTCCGGCAAGAGCCCTTTTTACGTTGTCTATGGCCAGCATCCCGTTGTTCTTCCGGCTGCATTCTCCTCACAGGGCATGCCAGTTCTGGATGAGCATTTGGCTGGTTTGCGTAATACTTGGGAGCAGGTTCAGCGTTCTTTGGTGGACTCTGCTACTCGCCAGAAGGCTCAGGCTGACAAGCATCGCAGAGCAGCTCCGTCCTATGTTGTGGGGGACAGGGTTTTGCTTTCCACGCGGAATATTCGTCTCCGGGTGCCTTCTATGAAATTGGCTCCCCGCTTCATTGGACCTTATCGTATTATACATAAGGTTAATCCTGTTTCTTATGCCTTAGGCCTGCCTAAGAATCTACGTATTCCTAATGTTTTTCACACCTCATTGTTGAAACCTTTCGTACGCAACCGCTATACCCGGCATACTCCTCCTCCCCCTCCTATCTCGGTGGAGGGTCATGAGGAGTTTGAAGTGTCTGCTGTTCTTGACTCTCGTTTCCTTAGGGGTCGACTTCAGTACTTGGTACATTGGAAGGGTTATGGGCCTGAGGAGCACAGTTGGATTTCGGCCGATGCTGTCCATGCTCCCCGTCTTGTGCGCTCTTTCCATTCACGTTTTCCTGCCAGGCCTGGTCCTACCCGCCCGGGGGGCGTGTCCTCAGGGGGGGGTACTGTAGCGTTACTTACCTTAACCGGGGGCCGGTCGCGGTCCTCTCTTCAAGCCGCGCGCGGTCCTGCGGCTGCACGAGCCGCGCGCGGCTCATCCAACTACTTCGGATGGAGGGCGGGCAGTGACCGCGTGAGGCGGTCACGTGTCCCGCCTGAAACTAAGAGCGCGCCGCGAGTCTCGGGCGCGCTCTTAAAGGGACAGTGGGTGCCTAAATTGGAAAAGGCATCCCATTGGTCCCTGTCATGCCACACTCCCCATACACTTACCTTTTGGGGGCGTGGATGTGACAGGGACCAATCAAATTAGATGTTTAGGTATTTATACTCACCTTCTTCCCTTTGTTCCTTGCCCTATCGTGGTTTCTGTTTCAGTTCCCTTTAGCGCTTGTGGTGTTCAGTTGTGTTTTCTCGTATTGACTTTGGCTTCGTATTCTGACTTCGTTTTCGCTTTATCCTTATCTGTACTGTTTGCCGGCTTGCTGTTTTCCGTGTACCAGACCCCGGCTTGTCCTAGTTTACGCTGTCTCTCTGTGCCCTTGACCTCGGTTTGTTCCTGGCTCTGTCTTCTCTCATATACGTCAAGTCCGGCCATTCTAAGGTCCGGTAGACGTATCTCTCCTCTGTATTTGCCTCTGTTTAGCTGGATCCTGCGTGTAGGGGTATATTCTCGTTACACTTACACTGTGCAAATTATATAGGTTTGGAGGCTGTGGTGTAAAATCACATATCCCTACAACCACCATCATTATGACCTACACAGACTGAGGGAGAATTCATATATATAAGTGCATGTCTAAGTGCTTGACTCTGTGTCCTGGGCTTCTTTGGCAGCAATGGCTTTTCTCACCACAACTGCAAACACCTCCACCTCATACATGCTCATCATGTATGACATAGAGCCTGACTGGCCTCAGATACTGCAGTCTTCATGGATAACTCCCAGTGGTCCAGTCAAGGCTTGGAGAACATCGGGAATAAGGGCCACAAGCTCACAACAAACCCACATAGTGCTAGACTGGCAAAGGTCCAGCACAATTCTCACCTGCTGCCTCACTCATACAGTACCCTGCATTGAAGCACATTTTGCTTCTGTATAGTAGTTACTGGGACAATTGCCCTCCTACTCTCTTGTCAGCCTTTTCCTGCTCTTGGAGCAAAATTAATTATTATTATTTAATATTTTTTTTTAACCCTCTAAAAACTCACCTAGTATAACTATAACAAAACCTTCATATTCTACCTAACAAATGTGTATCCTTGGAGCCATCTTTAAAAGTGTGTCTTTGTGAACCTTGAAACAGTAGATGTTTCTAGCTGGTCAAAGGATTAGCCATCATTAATATTATAGTGTGAGGAAGCCAAACACTTGATCCATGGACAGGAGGTAGATGCATGATATTGGCTTGTTAAAGGACCACTCTAGGCACCCAGACCACTTCAGCTTAATGAAGTGGTCTGGGTGCCAGGTCCTTCTAGGGTTAACCCATTTTTTAATAAACATAGCAGTTTCAGAGAAACTGCTATGTTTATGAATGGGTTAAGCCTTCCCCCAAAGCCTCTAGCGGCTGTCTCATTGACAGCAGCTAGAGGCGCTTGCGTGCTTCTCACTGTGAAAATCACAGTGAGAGCACGAACATCCATAGGAAAGCATTATAAATGCTTTCCTATGACAGCTGAATGCGCTGTTTTGCCGCGACGCAGGCGACGGGCGGATCGGAGGAGGAGAGGAGGCAGAGAGCCCCGCCCAGTGCTGGAAAAAGGTAAGTTTTACCCCTTTCCTCTCCCCAGAGCCGGGCGGGAGGGGGACCCTGAGGGTGGGGGCACCCTCAGGGCACTATAGTGCCAGGAAAACGAGTATGTTTTCCTGGCACTATAGTGGTCCTTTAAGAGCCTAGAGAGACATAGAAGGTGAGCAAAGGAGAACAGGTGACATCGATGCTTAAAAGTAATTTGACCATGGGCACTTTGCCGCTTTAATCTTACTATTCCCCTTTTTTTCTGAACCTGTTTATATTGTTTATAATGTAGTCAAACGAGGCTCTAACTTACAATGCTAGACACAATCCCAAATCAATAACAGAGCAAAAATATAACTGCATAATTTTATAATAAATATTGATAAATATGCTAAACAAGCATATCCAGCAATGGGGAAGTTATGTGCATGCGTGCGATTGTACATGGGTATTGAAACAGTTTCAACTGCTAAGTGACAAGAGTGGGAAGTAGGCAAAATGTGAAGCTCTAATCAGTGTCTATCTATGATAAATGGTGACTAATCTGATGTTTTAGTCTCTGTTATGTGTCATTTGCAATGCAATGGAAGCAAGTTGACCTAAGACTTATTGCATTGAAGATGGCATCTCCTACTTTTACCACCCGACAGGTGCAAGTAGTGGAAAAACTGATGGGGATATTTGTTGTATTGCAGTCTGACACTTGTGACTCAGGGGTGGGCGACCGTCAGCACTCCAGATGTTATGGACTACAGCTCCCGTAATGCTTTGCAAGCAATATAGCTGTAAAAGAATTATGGGAATGATGAAGTGTGCCTACCCCTGGGTTATATGATGCTATACATGTTAAAAGCAGGCTGTGTATGGGTGGGGACTAACTACATTTAAGGCTGCAGCTCCTATCTGGGTGATATGACAAGAGCAGGATGCTTGCAGAGTGGGAGATTTGTCATGATGCACACTGCAGTTCATAGCTATATCTTACTATAAACTCGAGAAGTGGGTCTGCTGAGGAAGAGATTTGTCTTGTTGCATACTGCAGTTCCTATCATTAGTATATAGAAAGACCAGGAAGAATGAGAAGAGTCTCATTATGCTGGAGATGGCAGCTCCTACTTAGATCATCCAACTATCTCAGGAGCAGTCAGACATTGGTGGAGACGTATAGCAGCAAAAACACTCCTAACTATATTATAGCATTTTATTTGCCATCACTTTGTTTATTTTCAAAAGAGTAGCCATTGTTTCAATAGTCTTACCAATCAGGGGTGGAACTAGGGGTGGAACTACTGCAGGTGCAATGGCACAAGGGCCCGCCAGTGCTAAGGGGCCCACTCTTGGCTACCCATCATGGATAGAGAGCAGTGAGGGTCCTGCAGTGGTAAGCTGAGGTAAATGAACACCCAGTTTTCTTTATTACTATCAGGAGAGGTCCCTTGAGCAAGAGGAAGCAATTGATGTTAAGTCAGTTGATACTTCTATCGTGTTCCTTCGCACTTTAGAATGCAGGCTGTCTCTGGGTGGAATTACAAAGGAAGCAATTTGTTCAGCCTGCTCTGGGTGTGGCCTTGGTCCTCAGCCTTACCCTGAGGTAACTGAGTGAGTCAACCTGTCTGTCAATAGAAAAATAAGAGCACTGGGACTTGAGGTCTGGCTAGGAAGGGCTGTTTGCTATCTTTATATGTTAATTCATTAAATTAAATTAATTTAATTTGCCAACAACATTTCAGACATGTGGTGTGTGTGAACTGCATGAGTCGTCTATGAACTGCATAGAGTGTGTCTGAACTGCATAGATTGGAGTGTGTCTGTGGATGTCAATTGCATGGAGGGTGACTGAATTGCATAGTAGTCCCTGTGTACTACACAAAATTATGTCTGTGAACTGCATGGAGAGATTGCATGGAGTGTGTATGTGAATGGAAAGGGCCCTACTTAGCTAACAGTTGGATCCATTCAGTTAGGGTCAGGAGAAGTCTGGTCAACACTTTAAGAGTCAGCGTAGGGCCCTGCCGCAGTGTGAGAAGATCAAGGATTATGAGAAGGTCTATTTGTGGGAAAGAGTTAAATGGAAGAGGAATGTGGCCATCTTTTTTGGGGAGAGATGGGAGTTAGCCGTGGAATCTTCCAATCTAAACTGGGAAGGGAGATGGTTATTTGGAATAGGGATCTAGTGTTTTGTGACTATAGAGTCAGTTATTTGGCAGTGGCAAGTGAGGACATTTTTGGGGAATTAGAGGTTAATTGTCTGGATTGGTACTGTAGTCAGAAAAAAATCTTGCTCCAGGGCACTCAGTAAAGTTCCAGTACTGATACCAATGATATTATTTTAATGATTGGCTTATCAAATGTTTGAATCTTGCAAACTCTAAAGCAGCCATCGGTTCAACTTAAAACAATGATTGAAATTTAACTTGTTGAGGTGATTATACAAGTAATAAGCTAAAAATTGAGTAACAGATTTTTATTCATTGTGATGCCATATATAAATAAAGAGGAAATTTGAAAAGAAAGCTTTCTGTCTTAAAAGCTCATTTGACTTGAAAGATGCAGCTCTGTGTCTGCTGAAAATATTTCAGAGAAATATGTCTGTTGTGATGAAAACTCTGGGAGGATCACAAAACTGTGAAAGAGGAGATAAATGAAAAGTGACAATAGTGCGAAAGAGCGTGCCTGAGTACAATGCAGTGTGCAAGACATAGAGAAAGATAAATTGCTCTATCAGAAGATGCTACCTTGGCCTAATATATTCTTTCTAAAACTGAGAAAGCATATTTAGGGCAAAGAACAGGCAGAGGAAGACAAATAAACTGTAACTTGTTAGTGTAAGGCAGGAGAAAATAACTTTTGTCAAACCTGCAGTTGCGGTAAGATCTTTTTGTAGATGTGGAACTGATAATTGCAATATAATCATTAAAATAGTTTTGTAAACAATCATGTTAATCACGAAAGATGTTGCTGCAATATACATCTCATCACCATTGGCTGGATATCAAGGGGATTTTTTTATAGTTTAGCATGTATAGTAAAGTAAAATAATTACACAGTAATATAGGCTGAAAAAAGACTACAAGTCCCTCAAGTTCATAGCAACGTTTCGACCTGCTAAGAGGTCTTTGTCAAGCTTGACAAAGACTTCTTAGCAGGTTGAAAAGTTACTTTGCCCTTTTGAGCCAATAATTCTGCCTGTGGCTTGAGCACTGTGAGTGCCTGAAAATATTGTCTCTTTTATTGCTATACCTATACTGGATTTGTTGGTCCTTCTTCAATGCACCCAGTGTCGAGTGGAATTGAATGCGGTTCCTTTTCCTTTGCTACATATCAGAAGGAAGTCTAACTTCTAGTATTAAATTACAAAAATCCTACTTCCTGGTATAAAATGACAACCATCCTACTTCCTGGTATTTAATGACAACTGCCCTACTTCCTGGTATTAAATGACAACCGCCCTGCTTCCTGGTATTACATGACAACCACCATACTTCCTGGTATTAAATGACAACCGCCCTACTTCCTGGTATAAAATGACAACCATCCTACTTCCTGGTATTTAATGACAACTGCCCTACTTCCTGGTATTAAATGACAACCGCTCTACTTCCTGGTATTAAATGACCACCACCCTACTTCCTGGTATTAAATGACAACCGCCCTACTTCCTGGTATTAAATGACAACCGCCCTGCTTCCTGGTATTACATGACAACCACCCTACTTCCTGGTATTAAATGGCAACCGCCCTGCTTCCTGGTATTAAATGACAACCACCCTGCATCCCGTTATTAAATGACAACCACCCTTCTTCCTAAGTCACATGATATAATGGAACTTTACGAGCCAGATGAATTATACATTATTTGCTTCAAATCGTACCTTCTGTTTGCCCTTTCAACCTAAGGAATGTTTTATTTAACTTGAGACAGGCTTTCTTCCACATTTCACAATCAAACTCTATTAAAATATCATGCTTGACAAATGCAAAACACATATTGGTATTTATGAAAGTGTCACATAAAAAATGTGCAAGAAATAATTGAAAGCGTGCATGAACATATTTCTGGAAACCTTATTCATAGATGATTTAAAATTCTGTTAAGAAAATGAACATGAAAAAGAGATGAATTGCCTTGTTTTACAATGAAACAGATTGAGAATCAACAGGAAATATCATTAGTGGATACATAACACAGAGCAGTGGAGCGGAAGTAACAAAGTATTCATTTATTGTAGTAGATGATGTTATAGAGTTGATGTCAAGAAATATTATGTGCAAAACAGATACGATTATTTCTCTGTCAATTTAGCACATTTCTGGGATAGGCACTATAAGGGATAAATTATTATTTATATATTTTTAAAGTGATCATTAATATAATTTTTTTTAAAAAGCTTCAGTTTCTCCAGGTCACTGTTTTGATCACGTATTTGATCTGAGCCTGCCTTTTGAGGCTCATTTCCATGTTCGTTCAATCATTATCATTGTTTTGCATATTCCTATACTATATGGTTTTACACTATATAGTTTCTATTTTTTTCTCCCATTTACTCTAGTCAAATACTCCTGTCACTGATTAGGGTATGTGTTTATATAGATATACCTTATACCCTGCACTTTATAGGTTGGTGGCTGTATGTATATATTTCTATTTTGCTTTTATGTATTTTAATTAATTACTTGCTATTTTTTAAATAAAATGTCTGCATAGTTTTAATAAATAATTCCAATAGCAAAGATAGAAACATAGAATGTGACAGCAGATAAGAACCATTTGGCCCATCTAGTCTGCCCAATTTTCTAAATACTTTCATTAGTCCCTGGCCTTATCTTATAGCTAGGATAGCCTTATGCCTATCCCATTGATACCTCTCCCTATACAACCAAACATTCTGCTAGCATTTCCTGCTTCTCTATTACATTGTCTGCCTAATTTTAAGCCATCAGAAATAATCACCCCTAAATCCCTTCCCTCTGATGTTGAGGTTAGGACTCTATCAAATATTCTGTACTCTGCCCTTCGGTTTCTACGTCCAAGATGCATTATCTTGCACTTATCCACATTAAATGTCAGCGGCCACAACTCTGACCATTTTTCTAGTTTACCTAAATCATTTGTCATTTGACTTACCCCTCCTGGAACATCAACCTTGTTACATATCTTAGTATCATCAGCAAAAAGACATACCTTACCATAAAGACCTGCTGCAATATCACTAATAAAAATATTAAAGAGAATGGGTCCAAGTACAGATCCCTGCGGTACCCCACTGGTGACAAACACATGTTTCGAATATACTCCATTGACTACAACCCTCTGTTGCCTGTCACTCAGCCACTGCCTTACTCATTCAACAATATTGGAATCCAAACTTAAAGATTGCAGTTTATTGATAAGCGTTCTATGTGCAACAGTGTCAATAGCCTTACTGAAATCTAGGTAAGCAATGTCTACTGCACCACCCTGATCTATAATTTTAGTTACCCAATCAAAAAAATCAATAAGATTAGTTTGGCATGATCTCCCGGAAGTAAACCCATGTTGTCTCTGATCTTAAAATCCATGTGTTTTTAGATGTTCAACAATCCGATTCTTTAACATGGTTTCCATTACTTTCCCCACTACAGAAGTAAGGCTTACTGGCCTATAGTTGACCAACTCCTCCCTCCTACCTTTCTTGTGAATGGGCACAACTTACGCTAACTTTTGTGGGATGAGTGATAGATAGATAGAAAGAAAAATGATTACTTTATAGTTATAGTTCAGCAACAGCTGTTGCATGTCCCTGGCTCTGTCACATATTTTTGTTGTATGAAAAATTTAGGATTAAAGCTATTGGAGCGGGTGACAGTTCGGGTGACAGAAGGTATAGAAAAAAAAATAACTTATTGCATTTGATCACCTCAGATTATACAATTTTATTTTTCCTTTCTTTAGGACTCATTTTGTGCATGACTATGTAGTTTCCATTTTAACATCATACATTTCCTGGGCAGGTGTAATGCATCTTAATAGGAAAACAAATTGTTATTTTAATAACCCTAATACAATGCATCACATATGGCCAGATTATGAGTAGAGGGACATTGCAAAGGGTAAAGCAGAAAAAAAGATTTTATTCTGCTCAATAACTGCCCACCAAGTGCAAATAGAGAACATTACATAAAATATATGCACATGTTCAGTTTAATATATTAATTATAACTAACAAGTATATCACCAAAATATACAAATAGTAAAAATATATCAAACGATAATACTTAGCTTTAAATAATGTGTAACAGCCTCCCTAGGTTGTTACCCGAAAAAACGACCTATATCACATATAGGAAACCAAAACAAAAGCAATTAGCGATATGGCTGTGTAAATCTATAGAGAAAACATAAAACAAGACATAGTGTGATATTGTTACAAAATACAATATTCTGTGCACAGCAATCTTTTGCACTCACTAGATGTAGGCAAGAATAAGCGCTCTTAGGATGCCTCCCCCTGGTATAGCGAGGGGCCAACCAATACTTCTGATCACCTCCGGATTCTTATTCCACCAAGAGACATCCAAAGGTCAGGGTAAAAAAAATATATAGAAAATGTGTTCAATAAAAAATATTTTTTATTGAATACATTTTCTATATATTTGTTTTACCCTGACCTGTGGATGTCTCTTGGTGGAATAAGAATCCAGAGGTGATCAGAAGTATTGGTTGGCCCCTCACTATACCAGGGGGCCAACCAATAAAATATATAGAACATTTATAAAATATATAGAAAATTTATAAAATATATAGAAGATTTATAAAATATATAGAAGATTTATAAAATATATAGAAAATTTATTCAATAAAAAATACGTTTTATTGAATACATTTTCTATATATATTTTTTTACCCTGACCTTTGGATGTCTCTTGGTGGAATAAGAATCCGGAGGTGATCAGAAGTATTGGTTGGCCCCCCACTATACCGGGGGGAGGCATCCTAAGAGCGCTTATACTTGCCTACATCTAGTGAGTGCAAAAGATTGCTGCGCACAGAATATTGTAGTTTGTAACAATATCACACTATGTCTTGTTTTATGTTTTCTCTGTAGATTTACACAGCCATATCCCGAATTGCTTTTGTTGTGGTTTCCTAATATATTAATTAACTTATTTGCAAAGATAACATTTAAATTACAGGCTAAAAATAAAATTGCTCCATCTGTGTTTTGTTATTTTTTTTGGTGTTTTTTTTTTTTTAAAGTGGACACAGGTGTTGGGGCATTATTATGAATATAGGTGATTATGTATAAAAATTGTCACATTCACTTTCATTTTTTGCACTAGGTTTAAGCACATGCATCACTTTCTTAGGTATAAAACCATTAATACCGTTTATAAACTGGTGATTTTTTCCACCTTTTCTGTAAAGCACCAGAATATTATGTTTTTCTCCACTTCTTATTCCACGTGTAGATTATTATAATTTTTTTTAAATCTTTTTTTGTCTCATGGTTTTACTTTTGATTATATCCACAAAATAAGACAAATTAATAATATAGCTAGGAAAAAAAGATGCATCCAATATTTGCATGTCTTTTTATACCTTAAAGGTATGGTGGCTGGGGTGGTGGTGGGGGGGCTACATTGAAAGTGTTCTGGGCTGCTAGTGACATTGCTGAAGGTAAAGTTCTATATCTCTCTAGATATACATATATATATAAGGAAAATACTTATAGCCCATAAGGCAGTTTTCACAAAGTCCCTGCAGTTAAGGGTTAATATATAGAGACAGACACGCCATACATTGAAACAGGGAGGCATGCCTGCACTTTTTAGATTACAAATTCCTTTCCTCCTGACATTCTAAGCCCCTTGTGACATTCTCGAAGTGCATTGGCTGCATAATGTCAATCAAGAGGTGGAATTGATAACTTTAAATGCCCAGTATGATCGTTCCAGCGGGTTACTCTTGAAAAAGGCTCATTCCAGTGCCGAAATGTGCGTCGAGTGGACGCCACAGATGTATGTGCTGTTTTAATAGGAATATCTATAAAGCCTTCCATGCACCCATCTCTTATATATGGAATTAACTTTAGTTTTCAGTGGGGCTGCCTCGAAGCAGCAAGGTGTATGGAGTTGGCTTTATGAGGAGTGGGAGGGATTTCTACCCTTTATTTGGGACATCAGTCTCCTTCACTACTCCAGTACAGTAGCACTGTGATGTAGGGCATTATTTGTAGAGAACCAAAAGTGGAGTGTATCTTTGTTGTGATATAGAATTAGTGTACGGGGATAATTTGCATATACGTCTTTTGTTTGGTATCAGGATAGGGACATCTCTCTGTGTGCTAACATCCCGATCTAGGTGCAATTTGGCACGATATTGACTTGGGACCTGCTGCAGATATTTTCTGTCCCAGATATCGCTTTCAAATCACATTTATAGTTTATCTTCATTGTGACCTCCTATTCTATTCTCCTCAAATACTTTATAAGAGGTCTTTTTGGATTAGTACACTTGATACCCTGATTAGGACATATGTTGTGTGAAGTTTCTGTGAAGTGTTATTCCAATTAGGGTGGGGATATATGTAGTCCGCTCCGCTTCTTAACACACTCTAATAGTGCTTTGTTCCAGGTATTGCTGATCACTATTTTGTTCTAATTGCAGTTACACTTAAAGCGGCACTGTAATACCGACCTTACCTTTCTTTAATCGCTTCCTCTTCTCTCCCTTTCTCAGGATCTGTTTTTCATTTCTTCATGTCTGCTCTAGTTTTATTTAAAACATGAGACATAGTAGGGACTACTTTGTCTAATGGAGGTTTCCTACGCTTGACCAACTTTGACCAGCGGAGGAACAAAGTGTGCTCCGTTTCCTGTGGTCAAAGCAATTTTCCCACAATTCTCACCTTTCCTCCGTGTTCTCGCATGCCTCCTTTCCGTATTCCCGAACGTCGGCAAAACTACCAAATTGCGTCCTAACAGAATGAGAGCAGTTAGTCCATTCGTGGTTTTTTCATTTTATTTTCAAAGTACGACGGGTATTATGGATTTTAATTCGGCCTTTTTGGGGGCTGAATAAAGAAGATTTTAGAAAAAAGAAAACCTCAAATGATAAGTTATTTTTTTATTTACAGGTATTTAGTTTTCTCATTCCCCCCTCACTATTTTTAGGGTTAGGGGGGTAGGTAGGAATTTATTTAATTTCTTTGGTTGGGGAGGTGACTGGTTGCTTGGGGACCCCTAGTCACCTGGGGGGTATTTACACTTAGCCCCCACCTGCCGCCCATGGGTGGGGGCTGGGGGGAGGACAATAGGTCCCCCCATTTTCATTTAGGGCCTCCACCCGGCGCCATGGGGTCCCACCATGGGGTCCCACCTTTACATAGATAGCCCCCACGCGCGGAGCACATCATCCCGCTAGTTAATAGATGCCATTAGTTAGAGGGGGCATGGTTTCTTTTTTACAACATTGAGCAGCCACTGGCGGCATTTAAAAGATTTTAATCTCCCTTATGCTATTATGGGGGTCATATTGAACCCATAGCGTGAGGGAGGACATGGGGACTTAGGAAGTAGCGGGGAGCACTGCTCTCTTCCGCTTCTATTTTTACATATTACAAGGAGGGAGCTGCGAGCCAGTAGCTCCCTCCTTGTAATAAACCAAACAAACGGACGAAGAGGTCTTCATTCATTCGTTTGAAATTTCTATTAATTTATTTGTCTTTCTGACAAATGAATGAAGAGATGAAATTCCCGTTCGCATTCCCAAGTGTTTGACTATGCATGTGCAGGGATTTCACAGCGCTATCTAGTGTGGGCAGATGACGTGTCCCACAGGGACTTCCATCTACCCACACATAGATGGCGGGGCCCAGGACTTAGGTCCGGGAAGAAAATAAAGAGGAAAAAATTGGTATTTAGGGGCATTTGGGGGTGACTATTAGATGGAGTGTAGTCGGGAGGGGGGTTAAAAAAAACCCTGGGTTCGGCCATGACAGTGCCGCTTTAAACTAACTTTTTCAAGCTGTTTGTTATGAATTAACATCTTGCTCCTTATTTCATACTTTATTCCCTTTTCCCCGATCCCCACAGACTAGTAAAACTATACATACTGGCATTGTTATTTTTTAACCCCTTAAGGACCAAACTGGAATAAAAGGGAATCACGACATGTCACGCATGTCATGTGTCCTTAAGGGGTTAACTTTCTAGCCAGAAGACAATCTTACAGCTGTGGGAGTCAAAATAGATACAATTAATACATAGTTTAATGTTGACTATAAGTCTCATATTGTGGAATAGAAGAATTACAGTTGGATCTATTCAAGGGGCTTTATACTGAGATTATGAGGCTGAGCGTGGTGGGCTATGTAGCTCTCCCCTTTTTATCATTATTTCTTCACAATCACGTTTTTTCTTTTCACCATTATCTGTATACATGTGATGTAATTATTACTAATAAAGACTATTCTGATGTTTTCTGATACCAATATAAATGTTGTTTTACTAATAGTGGGGTATTTGGTGTCCCCAGTGTTTTTCTATCGAGTACGTCTTGCAGTTTTTTCTTAATTTTCCAACTTTTCTTCAATTTGAGTTAAGCCCTATTTACCCACTCAGTCCAATTCGACTTCAGGGCTAGATTTATCTATCCCTATAGCTGTGTTGTTTTTTTTTTTTTCATGAAAACTCTTCCAGTGTGAGTTCAGATTAGCTGAACTGAAAGAATGGCTGTTAAAGAGATTATTTCCAATTTGGCTATTTTAAACTAAAATTTGAAATTCACTTTGAATTCACTTTGTATTCTCATTTTAGTGAATAATGTTGTTTTATGGGTACGGTTTTAGTGTAATCTGAAAATCGTGGAAATATAGCCAACTAAGGTATATATCCTCGCATTACTGTGCAACTTAATATATTATTCTCCCCTCAAATTAAAGGGACATTATAGGCACCCATACCTCTTCATCTCACAGAAGCAGTGTTAATTTTGTCAACTAAAATTATTTAGATTTAGTCGACTAAAACTAGACTAAAACTAAAACAATTCATATGACTAAACTTCGACTAAAACTAAAATGGCGTTTTAGTCAAAAGACTATGACTATAACAAAATTGAAATTTGTTGCCAAATTAACACTGCACAATGAGGCTGTGAAATGGGCAAAAGAGACAGATCAGGGTTTGAGAGAGAGACACGTAGAGGGGCTGGGAGGACACGAAGAGACACAGAGGGGCTTGGGAAGAGGCAAAAGAGACAGAGGCTTTAACTAAACCCATCAGATTTCTGTCGACTAAAATCTACTGGAAATTTAGTCGACTAAAATATGACTAAAACTAAAACAATTCAGATGACTAAAATATGACTAAAACTAAAATGGCTTTTTAGTCAAAAGACTATGACTAAAACTCAATTGAAATTTGCCGCCAAAATTAACACTGCACTGAAGTGGTCTGAGTGCAGTGGCCCTGTATCCTTAACCCTGCAATCTAAAAATATTAGCAGTTTTACAAAAACTGCAAATTCACTTTCAATTCTTACTTTAGTTAATAAACCTGTTGGACTGCCAAACCTTTTGCGGTTCTGATAATCTCCAACTACGTTCTTCTAGGGCTGCATATAAGTCTGGATTGTTTCAAGATATATCTGTTTAAACACTAGCTGATCAACCTAAACAATTCAAACAAATTAATTTGTTTAAGCAATGATAAACAGAAATCTGCTGTCCTCGAGGCCTGAGGTTGAGTACCCTTATCCTACTGCATAGACTGTGTTCTACTTTAGAACATTGACATAGATATAGAGAGATTTTCAATCATATGTATATATATATATATATATATATATATATATATCTTTTCATACACAACACATTATCACAATTTTTTCAATGACTATAAAATCTTGACATAGAGACAAAAAAATGACACAGACACAAAAAAAAAAGAAAACAATAAATGGGTTTGAGAAAATTATATTAAAATGTCAAAGTTATGTGAGATAAAATTATATTTTTGACACTGTGGACTAAATTCTATTTTCGATTCATTAAAAATAGGCTGGCAATGGCCCTTTCTGTTGTTTGCTTGTCTGAGAGGAGAGAAAATGAAAATATTTGTTTGTGTAAAGCTAAAAATAATTCACAATGTTCTTGTTGACATAGAAAGGCAAATTAATTAAGGTGCTTTCACTAGTTCTTAAGACAGGAACCTTTGAAAAATAACGTTTGGACATAGCTTTTAACAGGGCCCTTCTGGCTTCATGATTCCTGTGACAGGATGCCTAATCCAGGCAATACTAAAATGGTAAATTCTAAAATGACTGAGCTACCCAATGACTGGGAGGTTCTTTGATGTGTTCTGCAATTATTTAGAATCCCTTCGGCTATTGAAATGTAAATTATAATAGTAAAAGTATAAAGTCAATTGCCCCTTTATAAAACTATGATGACACCACATCTTGAATATGTGGTGCAAGGATATTAATTAGAAAACATGCAAAAGCAGGCTTCAAAAATGTTTAGGAATGGAAATGTTTAGTTATGAAAGCTAGAAAGACTGTACTTGTTTACTTTAGGACAAAGGACATCTAAGAGGGGAATAGAAACATAGAATGTGATAGCAGATAAGAACCATTCTGCCTATCTAGTCTACCAATTGTCTACATACTTTCATTAGTCCCTGGCCTTATCTTATAGTTAGGATAGCCTTATGCCTATCCCACGCATGCTTAAAGTCCTTCACTGTGTTAACCTCTACCACTTCAGCTGGAAGGCTATTCCATGCATCCACTACCCTCTCAGTAAAGTAATACTTCCTGATATTATTTTTAAACCTTTGCCCTTCTAATTTAAGACTGTGTCCTCTAGTTGTGGTAGTTTTTCTTCTTTTAAATATTGTCTCCTTCTTTACTGTGTTGATTCCCTTTATGTATTTAAATGTTTCTATCATATCCCTCCTGTCTCGTCTTTCCTCCAAGCTATACATGTTGAGATCCTTTAACCTTTCCTGGTAAGTTTTAGCCTGCAATCCATGAACCAGTTTAGTAGCCCTTCTCTGAACTCTCTCTAAAGTATCAATATCCTTCTGGAGATACGGTCTCCAGTACTGCGTACAATACTCCAAGTGAGGTCTCACCAGTGTTCTGTACAACGGCATAAGCACTTACCTCTTTCTACTGCTAATACCTCTCCTTATACAACCAGGCATTCTGCTAGCATTTCCTGCTGCTCTATTACACTGTCTGCCTACCTTTAATTCATCTAAAATAAATACCCCTAAATCCCTTAGTCTGCATTGATCTGGAGACTGAAACATGTGACTCTCAGTCAGGTCGCATAGAAGATGCTGCCCTCTTGCAGGACACCTCTTTTTCTGCAAATTTGGAGCATCACTTACAGTTTCAGTAAGATCACATCATTCCTATACCCTCGTTAGCACACATTTTAGGAATGCAGTAGCGACATGGACAAATCTAAGTACACCTAACCACTTAAATTGTGTTTTTACCCCATAATCCTTGTCCTGTCATGGTTTCGATTGTGGTTCCTGATCAGCAAGTTTTCATTGTGTTTCTGACTTACTAGTATTGACCTTGGCTTGTTTAATCGACTCTATGTAACTGCATTACCCTGAGCTTGGCTATTTTTTTTTATCTCTGTACCACGCTAATCCCGACCTTGACTTGTTTCCATTTACAATTTTTCTTGTTATCTTGCATTTAACCCAGCCACTCTAAGGACCGATAATACGTTCTTTACTGTTTCCTCTGATTCTGACGAGTATAGGGTATAAGCCAGAAATAAAAATGGCTTTACTTTTCACTGCTTTATCATGCATATTATGTGTGTATCATGTGTTGACTCTATACATGCATAAAATATCCACATCATATATCTGACACTTTAGGGGTTAATGGGTAGTGTTTCTTTTGATGTACAGCCGTTTTATAGAGGTAATTTCTGCCTACACTATGACAATGTATCTTACTCCGCATTTAATGGAATAAGAAGATCACACAAAAAAACCCCAAAAAACATGAGACTGCTTGGTCCTGTTGCAATGAGTGGCCCTACATCAATTTGAACCTGATACCATCACTGTGTTTCTGGCATGTTTTAACTGTCTCACTGCACACTTGTTGCACATCTATAGAATGTGATCTCATTCAGAAAAAAACAACTTTATCTAAAAACAAAGTTGTTTTCCTGGTAGTATAGCTCCCTATATTGCCACCCTTCTCACAGCCCCTCCCCCCGTCATGCAGAAAGGGTTAAAAATACATTCTGTCACTTACCTGATTCCAGCGCTGATGTCCCTCTCAGAAACTGAAATAATTACAATTGCAGGGTTAAGGGACGTAGGACACTGCACCCAGACTACTTCAATGAGCTGAAGTGGTCTGGGTGCTATAGTGTCCCTTTTAATTTGATCAGTCTTCTCCACCTTTGCAGATAGCAGTCTAACAATATCATAAACAGAGATTGAAAACAAGAAATTAACAACTCCAATATTATATTGTATCACAATTCACACCTTCCAGTGCTGACTCATATAACCATAAAACCCACGTACTTACTTGATGATGAAAATGAATATAAATTCTGTCAATGACTGTTGCTCAGTACCAAGAAAAGAACACAATTAAATGGGATGCTTTAAGATACAAATATATTGAAATGTTAAATGAAAATATAACTTGTGTTCTTTTTCTCCATATTTTGCTAAATGTGTCACATTTATCTCACATTACAAGCCCAAAGACTTCACATAGACTGCACACAGGGACGAGAAAGACTGTCACTCGAGCGTCACGTCTTTGACAAAATAAATTAGTGCTGTAGTGAACCAGATATTAATCTTTTTTTCTGTCTTGAAGATGTACTCTGATATGGATCTGAAGCTTTATATTTTGATAAATGTCTACAATATATTTTCTTTCATAAGGAGCGGGATTTCTTTCTGTGCAATATGTACACTTTAAATGTGTATGATTCAAAAGGACAAATTCATTAGAGAGTAGACGAGAGCTTCCCACTCTTATTTGTACATCGCCTACTGTAGCTAAAGTAGATTAGACTAGATAAATATTTCTAATATACCCACAGACAGGAATATTAAAGTGAGAAGACAAAATATATCAACACTTCCTTTAAGGGATATATCACACACAATATGACATTTTAAACAAGGTATCTTCAATCATGGAAAATAAAGCATATTTGTTACAGTGGCTAAAGACAGATGGCCAATTGGTTTTGTGCCAAAAAAAACTGAAAGTGTCTTACTGGCATAAAAAATGTGTTCTAATCAAATTCTTGTTGTAATACAGCAACTACAGCCTATTAAAATAAGTCAGAGAAAAAAAACGCAAATTCATTTAAAAATGTGATTTTGCATGCACATGTACTTTTACCGTTACACAATGGTGTGTTAGCTGCATTCATTCTAGCATGCAAGTGTGAAGGAAATGCCGTTTTCACAGTTATGTCATTTAAAGACACATAGAGACTGATGCACTGGGGTAAAACCATTTGGCCGCAGACAAGGCCATTCAGACTGCAAAATTCATACATTGTTCATGCCATTCAACAATGTCCAGATTCTGCAGTTCATGCACTGGATAGGCCTGAATTAGATCTGTATTTCACCCAGTTTTAACGCCAACTGAACGGCTGGAACCCGAACTGAAAAATCAGAAACTATTTTCCTGCTGGCAAACTCACGGCAGTGCGAGGGTTAACACTGTGTCAGTCGCCACATTAAAGTAAAAAAATAAAAAAATCAATGTAATTAATTAATAAGTCTATGGGGAGTGAATAAGATGCCATTATTGCAGACCCCCATCTGGCAATGAGGGATATCTACTAAACATTAAAAATTATCAACTGTACAGTCACTACAGCCCATTTAATAGGAAGGCTCCATTTCTGCCCACCCAACTGCCCCCACCTCTAGCCAGCAGGTGGAGTAATTACACAAAAAAGGGGTTGAATCCAAACTCACCTGTAAACAGCTGATGGGGCTATTAATTTTATACTGGGGGAATCTAATGCCCACCCCAGTCACCACCCATTGACAATGGGTAGAGGCTTTAAATATGTAATACAAAGGAAGGAGGGGTTGTCCTAATGTTCCCAACCGAACCCCCAGCCATGGGTGGCGAGTGCGAGCTCTAAATATAATAGAAGGGGGCATCTAATGTCCCACCCTGTGTAGCGCATGCGGGTTCTGTTAATAAAAAGGGAGGGCCTAATATCCCCACCACAGCCCCCACTCATTGGCAGCAGTTGGGGGTTCTAATAATTACTGTATGTTCAGAAGTGAGGCCCTGAATAATAATACTATATACTTCTAGAGAAGTTAGGCTTGCCTGTCAGAGCACTCAGATTGAGAGCACTCTGACTGATATTGCATAGAGTGGAAAAAAACACTATGCAAGCTTAGTCTGATCTTTTTTTTTTCTTTTTCGCAGATTGTGTTTTCTTTTGTTTGTTTTAAAGAGTTCTGTTGTGGCTGTGATTATGTATTTTAATGTGGTCTAAAAAGAGCATAAGCTGCAGTTCTGTCCCCCTCACCCCCACCCTTCTCCAACCCTTCTATCCAAGATCAGAAGTTATGTGACTATCCAATTACAGACTCTCCAATGCAGCTCAATGAAAAGACGTTGCAATGGAGTTGCTCCGGCCAAGATGCCTCTTGAATTTAGCTCCACTGAGCTAAGGAACCAGGAAGTAATAAGGGTGTAACAAGGATAATTTATAAAAATTCAATTTTTTATCAAAATCTACACTGTTTCTAAAATGAAAAAAGAAGACACACTCTTCATGCATGTCCCTTTAATTATAATGGGGTGGCTATGATATTGGGGAGTCCTATTCACCTGAGGCAGGGACAATACCACAAATTTTGGGGGTAGACTGTAGCACTGGTAGGGGCATGAGGGGCACTATGCTTGCTCTGTCATTTAGAGGGCCCAGCAATAACCGCTCAGTTGTTAGTCTTTAAAGTTTTGTAGATACACAAAACCATGCGGCAGGTGGGGGCATAGGTTCTCCAAAACCTCCCTTATAGTAATATGGGCGTCTTATTGACTTCCGTAGGTTTTTTTTTTTTTCTTTTAACAATTTTAACGTAGCAAGTGCTGGTCAGCCGCAGCATAACTAAACCTTGCATTGCAAAAAGGTTTTCACTGTTTGCCAACTAGTACTATCAATTCACTAACAACAAAACAAAATAAAGATAATTTGTAAATGTGCAATGTCCTGCCAGATGCATTCGGGTGCATTAATTTGATTAACGTCAGTGGTTTGTGTATATTTCTGTATATATATTTCTGTGTATATTTGTAAAAATACTTTATTTTGTATAGAGATCGGAAGTGAGATTTTAATCCAGACACTGAATGTGATTGCTGCAGATTTTCTCGGGTTCCGAATATATTTTTTTCTAGTAAATAAGAAAATCTGATGTTTAGGGATTAACCATGATGAAATTGGTTGAAATTTTATTTATTTATTGTAAACACGATCTAGAAAGTAATAAACTTAATAATGGCAAACAAAAGTATATGTAAAGGTAATAAAAAAAAAAGGAATGCTATTGGTGTACAATTTTACATATTTTTTTCAAGTGCAACTGCTTATATTTATAGGTATTAGTCATATCCACTTTTTTTTTTCTTTATCTCATTCAATTAACAGAGCAGCTAAATTTTAGCTATGTGTGCACCTACTGCTAAAATATTTAGGATATTAGTCAATGAGTCAGAAGCTAGCATAGGTCATGCTGCCACCTAGTGGTTAGGTTGGAGAGAGTTTGCTAAAATAAATATTGTGCATTATTATTATTTTATTATTTATATAGCGCCAGCAAATTCCGTAGCGCTGTACAATGGATGGACTAACAGACACGTAATTGTAACCAGACAAATGGACGCACAGGAACAGAGGGGTTGAGGGCCCGGCTCAATGAGCTTACATGCTAGAGGGAGTGGGGTATAGTGACACAAAGGGTGACACTGTTAAAAAGTGTAACGGAGAAGGGAAGGGAGTTCCACAGATAAGTTGCAGCCCTGGAGAAGTCTTGGAGGTGAGCATCAGATGTGGGAGTATGGACAGAGTATAGACATATGGGTTATGTCATGTTACAGCTGCTATTATCAAAGAGTTATGTAATTAAGAAGATACTGAGTTTTTTCTTTCCAACTGAATGATGAGAAGAATGAGACTAAACTTTTGTGAACTAATTTTTAATGTTAGAGAAATAAATCAAATTTTTACACGCAGTATATTAAATTAAAAAATTTAAAAACTAACAAAAGGCTTGCTATAATACTTAAGTGTGTTGGAAATTAAGTTATTATAAACATAGTAACTGCAATTATTTGTGTTTGTTACCTTTCAAACAGGAAATACTAAAAACAAAATACTGGAAAACTTATTTTGTGAAAGTTTTGCTCTAAACACTGAAACATGTTTGCCAATATTTTTTTAACTTCTTGTTACATAAATGACTTTGTGCAAACATACATGGGCAACTGTACAAGTAACACTTTAATTTCATCTTACCTTCCACACATGACGGCTTAGCCCTGGTGGTACCAGCAACCTGACCGGGGAAACAGGAGCACTTCACAGTTTGGGACCGTTCTTCAATCCTGTTTTTATTGCAACATCGATGAATTGCAACAACTTCACAGGTCCCTTGTTTGACTTGGTGATGTCCTAAAAACAATTACAGACAATGATAATGAGCAGATAGCGTCTGTTCTCTAAAGCAAGTTAAAATGTATCTGCAGCTGTATTGTCATTTAGGGATCAGGAAGAAACATGCATATCATCTTGCTAGTCGAGGTCATATTGTAGGAGTAATCTTGTATTAAATGTACAATTCATGCACTATAACAACTACAGCTCTCTCACTGACTGAGAATATGCAGCTGATGCTCTTAACCAATGATCTGGCACTGCATGGCAGAGCTAAGGTCAAGGAGGAGGTAGCTAGTACCCAGCTCTGAAACAATTTGACTACTTACACTAAGAGGTCACCAAGGCAAACCTGCCATCATAATGACCACAATGGGCTGACTGTGGTTTTATGAATCATTGTTAGGGGCATGTGAGCACCGTGATATTTATTGCTGAAGACTCAAGGCTGGGACCTCTTCAGCATTTTTTGATTGCTCAAAACAGCTTAGCTAATATTGCTCCATTCATAAAGTTTATATATATATATATATATATATATATATATATATATATATATAGGTCAAAGTTAATAGGACACAATAGTATGAGAAGTAAATAAAGAAATAAAGCTCATGTTTCAAACCCTCACACAGCAGGGGGTGACCTAAATAGGCAGCAAGACATTATAGCATTTATAATATGTGTTAATATTCAGTTCTAAAACGTATCACCATGGAAACCAGTAGAACAAACAGGCACATTCGAGCCTTTTATATTTTTGCACCACTTAAGTGGCGTTTGTAACACCATTTTACTTCCAAAACTGACATTATGTATATTTAACATAACATGATTGATTTACAATTGAGTTTGCGCAATTCAAGACTCATTCCGATGGTGATTTCATTTGAGAATTAAACATTGTGTATGTGAATGTTTTTTTTTTTATCACATAATCTAAACAAGGCTATGCTTCAAAAAACATGTTAAATAGAGTACATGTATCCTCTGTTCATACCAGGGCCGGAACATCCTATAGGCGACTTAGGCAGTCACTCCCACCTGCCAGTCACTCAATGTAGCGTGGCCGGGAAGCGCGGACTGCGGTACAGAAGCTTGTGTTTCCTGTACCAGGCCGCCGGCGGACTGACAGTCAGGACCACCAAGGAGAGGACCATTAAGGGGGGAAGAGGGGACTGGAGAGGACCAGTAGAGGGGAGAGAGGAAGGACCACTAAGGGGTTGGGGGAGAGGGAGGACGAGTAAGAGGGGGCAAGAGGGAGGACCACTAAGGGGGGGGGGGAGGAGAAGAGGGAGGACCACTAAGGGGTTGGGGGAGGAGAGAAACACTGAGGGACAGGGAAGATAGGTGAGAGACACTAAGGGACAGGAGCAGGGAGAGCTCTAAGGATGGAGAGGTAGAGGAGATCACTAATGTACAGGAAAAATCACTAAGGGGCAGGATGGGTGGGGAAAGCACTAAACAAGGGAGAGCACTAAGGATCAGGAGGGGAGAACACTGAGGGATAGGAGGGGTGGGAGGGGAGATCACTAATTGATAGGAGGGGAGAGCACTATTTAAAAAAGAGCTGCTCCCCTCTCACCCCCTATCCTACCCCACAAACCCTCTCTTTTACACTACACACATACACAATGCATCCCTAGTCACACACAGACACACCAGAACACACAATGCATCCCCTATGCACACACACAGAGAAACAAAATGCATCTCTAACACAAACTCAATGCACCCCTTACAGATACACACTGCATTAAATTACATACACAGAAACACACCTTGAATTCCTTACACACACATACACACACACACTGCATCCTCTATACACACACTACATCCCTTACACAAATTGGTATCCCTATACACTACATTCCATAGGAACACACACACATTACATCCTCTATAGTAACACATAACACATCCCCTACACACATACACTCCAATCCCTGTGAGCGAACTCATGGGTAGGCCATGTAGGTGGTCTTATGGGCAGGTCTTTTAGGCATACACATGGTCAGGCCCTGGGGGCCCAGACATAGAGCTGTGTAAGGGGCCCCAAAAAATGGAGCTTCTTCCTGTTCGTAATTTGTTGTGAGCACTGTTACAAACAGTCTCCAGAGATCCTCTTCTACGCCTAGGAATGCAAAAATCCTTGCACCGGCCCTGGTTCATAATCCCACCTCTGATGCTCGCCTTCAAGACTTCTCTAGGGCTGCACCGTTCCTGTGGAACTTGCTTCCCTTTCAAAAAGTCTCCACTCCTTCAAGAAATTATTACAACCTCACTCCTTCACAAAAGCATATCAATTAAACTGTTTATAGCTATCAACTGATTCCTCTCCTGCAAATCTCATTAAAAAACACACTGTCTTCAGTGAATACTATTCTACTAATCTACTTCTTTAATACTATCCTTACCTTTTGTGTCACTTTACCCCACTCCCTCTAGCATGTAAGCTTTAAGCAGGGCCCTCTAACCCTCTGTGCCTGTGCGTCCAACTCGTCTAGTTAAAATTAAGTTTGTTAGTCCACACATTGTACAGCACTGTGGAATTTGTTGGTGCTTTATCAATAATAATAATAATAATATCCACTGTATAAAGTGGATGTGAAAGATTACAGGTAATCATGTAGACCACATTTGCATAGCACTTATCAGAAGTGTAAGTGCCATGCCTGGAAAAACTTTGAGAAATCTGGTTGACGGATGAAGGATTAGTAGTTGTGCCTTTTTTTCTGATAAAAGTTAAATTATGTATGGCTCTACAAGTTCTGGCAAAGCTAGAAATTGAGCTATTTTGTTGTTCAAACCATGATTTATGTGTACCAACACTTATTATATATAATTATGTTCAGAAGAAATAGGGCTTTTATTTCACATCAATAATAGAATAAAATCTATAAAAGTGTGAGAAATTAAAACATTTTTATTTTCCATGTTCTGCATGGCATTTTAACTGAAAATGTCCTAATACTGTTAGCTGCAATTAAAACACGCATATTTGTGTGTGCTGTGATGTCCCATGAGTACAACGTTGCTTCCTACGTGCAGCTTTCATGGTGCTTTGGAAAGTTACAGGGTCAAATAAGGAGCTTTCCCATTTCATTTTTACACATTGAAATTTGCCAGATGGGTTTGCTGGGCTCATGTTGCGTTGAGACCATATGACAGCCCAGGAATGAGAGTTACCCCCATGATGGCATATCATTTGTGAAAGTAGACAACCCACGGTATTCAAAATGGGATATATCCAGCCTTTTTTAGTATCCACTTAGTCACAAACCCTGGCCAAAGCTATATCTGTGCTTTTGCATTTAAAAATAACCAAACAAACTGCACTTTCACCGATGATATTATTGTTATTATATGTTTTACTTCTCTAAAACACTTTTATTTGTGATCAGTGATGTCTCACTAGTACAAAGGTACCCCCTGTCCTCCTTCCCCACGTACAGATTTTGTGCGGTCTGGAAATTTCTCTGGTATTTCTCTCTGTGTTGTCAGGCTGGACGCCTAGTATATAATTATTAAAATAATATTATTATATAATATATAAAATACTATAGAATCATATTAAATATGTAATATCAAAATACACTTGGAATGAAATTATAAAAATGGTACCCTTTGTATGGATGTATATATAAGTGTGCATGCATATATATTTGTGCACATTGAGTGTATTTATATGTACGTGCATTTATTTTTGTATATGTATTCTGGTAATTGTGTAATTATATGTTTAACTCTCCCTTCTACTACCATCTCCAGCACTGTTTGTTTGTTAGTTTGTTTGGTTCTGTTTGTTTTTTCTTTCTCTCTCTTCCCTCACCCTGTGATCATAACACAAGATACTTACAATCTTCTGTGAGAAAGACTTAAAGAAACACTATAGGGTCAAAAACACCAACATGTATTACTGACCCTGTAGTGTTAAAACCACCACTTATGTGGCTTGCCCCCCTTAGTCCCTTTAAAAGGTAAAAGAAAAAACTTACCTTACTTCCTGCGCCAAGTGGGTCTGCTGGTGCTGGCCCCACCCCAGAACTGCCCCTTTGCTGACATCATCAGGACATCATGGTTTTAGCCAATCCTATGCTTTCCCATAGGGCAAGGAGGTGGGACAAGTGTGGGTCCAACTGTCGGCTTGGCCAATGAGCACCTTCTCATAGAGATGTATTGAATCATTGCATCTCTATGAGGAAAGTTCAGCATCTCCATGCAGAGCGTGGAGACGCTGAATGGCAGTGCTGCACACTATTCACCTCCAGGAGTGGCCACTGGAGGTGTCCCTAGGGGACAATGTAAACACTGCCTTCTCTCTGAAAAGACAGTGTTTACATGAAAATGCCTGCATGGAATGATTATACTGAAAGAACAACTACAATAAGTGTCCCTTTAAGAAAGACTTTATAAAGGGACGTTCTCACGAAAGTATGCCATTCCAAAATTCTGCTAGTCTAATAAAAAGGAATAAAATATACTAATTTAAATTCTTTATTTTTGTCTCAGACTCACTGTTGTAAAAAAGCATCGTACAACCAACACTTTTAAACAAAATAATATATGATGAGATAATGGAACTATAATTGGACACTGAATCAGACACTGAAACTTCCGAACACAGCTGGACTTCCTTCATCACCTTCGTTCGATTCTATAGAACACTGTTCCGTGGAATTGTTTGTCTGGATGAGGGGAACAAGCTCCATGGTTCAAATAGAGACTACGTTCGGTATTTTATTCATTTTTATGTTACCAAAGTTGGCCAACCGCTAGCCCTGTTTTCATGGAACTGTTTTGGGCATAGTACCATGTGCCCGGTCGGTCAAATAATTGACTTTGGGTGTTAATGAAGTTTTGAAGGTACTTTTGGGGTGTTTGTAAATTTTATGTTTTTCTGTGCCTGGAGATAATTGAGTTTGTACAGTTCCTGACTCAATTATCTCCCAGGCACAGGGGAGGGATTACCTTGTTTTGTGTGGGAGTGTCGAGGGGTCTTTTCTGTGTCCTTGTACTGCATAAAAGCAGGCCATTGAGCCTGGATTAAACAGATCGTCTTACCCCTTCATGAAGTCTAGGCTCATGTTTGGGGGATTGGGAGGTATATTCACACTTATAATCACTACAGCGTTTGGGACTTGGGAGATTCTTCACGGATGTACTCAGCTGGACTACTGGGATCTGTTACAGACAGCTATGTCTTTAGAAAGACGTTTGGTACTAGGTATAGGGGTCACTGCTTTCCCTGGGGTATAATGCCTCACTCCCTTTAAAATGTATCTAGTCTCTAGTAAGGCGTAGGTGGAGGCGGGGGGGGAGGGGAATTTGGCCTTAAGGCTAACTCTATTGAGCATGGCCGCGCTGTGTGTTTACGCCCTTTAATGGGTGAAACTAAAATTGTAGGGTTAATGGGTGGTAGGAGTGGACAAATGGTGAACTATGTATAGTCCTGAACTTTTAAGTGGTTAATGTAGGTGGTTGCTGCTGCATAAGTGTCTGCCTCAGCTTGCTGTGATATGAACAGGGTGATGTTCCTCGGATCCCATCTGTGGGTCACAGCCGAGGCTTTCTTTTGTCGCAGAGATTCTTGCAGGAGGCTAAGGGTCCCCAGAAGGGCACATGCTCCGGTCATATCCTGAACTGTGTAGGGTCCGCCTCCATGTGTGATTTGGAGAGAACAGGGTATCTTCTTGTATTGAATCATGCATTCTTGAAGTAGAGAGGTGAACAATTGCAGTGATCTTCTCCAAAATAATGTGCTACCGGAGACATCATTATAGAATGAGAGGTTCATTCTTTCAAATGCAAACTGAGAAGTCCTTTTAAGAGCAGCCGTCGTGATGACTAACCCCTCATATTTTGGAAGCATGTGACCAGGTCTCTTGTAGCTGTGTCATGGGCTTTCTTAGACTTGGGGATGTGGAAAATAACTTCTAGGGTGACAGACTTCGCTTGTTTAGGTGGCAGGAGTGCGGCCACTAAGCGCCTTACCAGGTGCAGGAGTGCCTCTGCCGGTATGTCCTCTGGGATGCCTCTTATCTTGAGGTTCTTTCGTTGCCTCATATCCTCCAGATTTGCAAATCTGTGCTCCGTCATGGCCTGCTGCTGTTGTAGGTTTTGCACTGCAGCCTCCAAATCAGCAATTCTCTGTGTATATTCTTTTGCAGGTTGGAAAGCAGGTCTTTCAGTGCCCCCATCATGACAGGCTGGGAGTCAGAGATTGGGGCTCTGCGGGGTCTCAGGGATTGGGGCTCGTGTAGGTAAGTTTCCAGCCACCTCGTCGAGTGGTTCTACCCCTGAGGAGTCTGAGTAGTCCCCCATGTAGTCGACCATCTTGGGCCCAGCCACTCCATGCATTTGGCAAAGGATGTTCGCCTGATCGGCACCGGCACCATCCAGGTCTTGAAGTCGTTTTTTTTAGCTGTTTGACATTGTTCGGGACCGGAGCACAAGCTGGAGCTGAAACATTGATCTATTTTTATGCTATGAATTAAAACCTAACTTTTATCTTTTGGATTAAGGCCTTGGAGTGTGGTAATTTATTCTCTCTCTCTCTCTCTCTCTCTCTCTCTCTCTCTCTCTCTCTCTCTCTCTATATATATATATATATATATATATAAACAAATCCAAGAGGGCTGCACTCACCTGAACATGCATACATTATAGGGTGCTGCTGGGGCCAAAATATACAAGCATTAGGCTGCTAGGATAGGACCTGTCAAAATGGGGTACATTGACGGTGTGGCAGGCTTATGCAATATATGATCATATAATGTAACTAAACCCCCATTGTTTTTTGCCTAGGTGAAGTGTTTTTAAATAAAACTATTGCAATCTCTAAGATTTTAAATCATTGTTTACTGAATAAGCGAGTGCGCTAGATTCTGTATTATATATATATATAAAATGAATAAAGAGAGAGCACTCAATGGATATTCTCAAGGTGTATTATTGATGAAATGAAAGATCAACGTTTCGACCCAGAAGGTCTTTATCAAGATACATATGTATATGTATGTATGTATGTATGTATTTGTATGTATTTGTATATATATATATATATATATATATATATATATATATATATATATAAATCCACTGGAAATTACCACACATGACTCGAATCTGTGGCAATGGCTGCAGGGGAACTGCCTCGGTTGTCAGGCAATCCCTTAGATTGGGTCAGACGAGGTGGGTGAGTATTTGGGCTGGAGGAAGGGCCCACATATTATGGTGTGCTATGCCACCTTAACTGTGTTAAAGTCCTTTTTTTCTAAGTCAGCATAGCATGCCTTAACGTTGGGAAGGGGTGTAGGCAATAGTGACATGATACTTTTACCACATCACTGCAGTCCACAGATTCTATCACTTTATATTACAAAATAAAAACTCTGATCTTAGCATGATTTTTTTTTATTATAGACGCAACATGTTGTTTTCTCGTAATTTTTACAAGACTCTTAAAATAAGCTATTTTGTATGTTCTTTGCCTCTGTAGCAGCTGGTTTCTCTTTCTGAATGCCTGCCTTTTGCCAAATGATCATCTGCTTGTTGAAAAACTGCTACTTCCTGCTGCTTTCTCAGTTTATCAATGACACAAAAGGCCTTGTTTATTCACATAACTTACAAAAGCTCAAAGTCAGAAAAGAGGGTAGAGATTACTGGTTTTCAAACAAAGATAAGATAGAGCCAAGATAGTAATTGCTACTAAAATATGAACTGAGCATTGAAGGTTGTCTTAATTTGCCAGACAAGATATATTCCTACACACATAAAAGCTTTGTTTAATTTATTTATTTATAAACTTGAAAATGTTAACCCTATTCCAGAGCAATTGACTTCTGATCTCACCTCCTGCCAATAGTAATTTATTTCAACTCATCGCACATTTACCAAAGAAGTAGTTCCTTTCACCAACACATATGGGGTAAAACATTTATGGCTACATGCTGCTTTATGTATTTTGAAGTAGCCTAAGCAGAGCTCACTGTAGTCTCCTTCTCCCACCAAAACAGCCAAGGACAATGGAAGATACATGACCAGGTCACCCAGTGGTGCCAACATACTTCCTTCATGCTCTTTCCATATTCCAGTATGAGAAGGGTTTGTGAACACCAAGATGAAGACCTATGCTTTTCCTGATTAGTAGGTTCATTGAATGTTTTTAAAGATTTTCTTCTTGAAAATGGTTTATTATCACAATACACAGTCCAGGACATTCATGAAAGCCGTCCAAGTTCCAAGAAAGTCTAAAGTTGTTCTCATGGCAAATGATAGCTCTGCTGGTTATTAACTAATATATACTTGATATTAAGGCATTTCTTGATGTTCTCATTATTTTGATTTTGTACCCATACACAAGCATAAAGAAATTTAAAAAAAATAAGAAACAAAAGTTGACACGTTTATAATAAATGGAAAAGTAGGCTTGATCCAATGGCACAATTAGGCATCAAGAGACCCATTCTTGCAGCTTTTAAAGACCACCATTGTACCATCCAGTCCCGATTGCATTTTTTCTTACTTCATTATGGACATTGATGGAGTAGGAAGGGTCATCGTCCTATAGCCTCACACTAGTAACCTTTGATAGCCTTGCTACTTGTTTTTAGTGTCTATGTTAAATGCAAATTGTTATTGAGATTGATATTTTGAAATAATACTTGAAACTGTATTAGTATTATCCATTTGAGTGCCGGTATAGACATGTAAATATTAGAGTTGTTCTTAGGATATTAGTAGAATTTTTTGCCAAAATACCAGAGTATTGCAGTATGCAATGATAACTTTGGACTTACCAATTCTTCTTTGGACTTACAGAATACTTAAAAGACAAGTTTTGGAGAGTTTTCCTCTCTTTCTCATGTGCTTCAGACCTGAGGAAGAAAGGAAACTCTTGAAAGCTTGTCTTTTTTGGCATCTTGTCTACTGGACGAATACGGCTAATCCAATCTACACTAGAATGTTTTGATAACTTGTATTTTTAAACCCAGTGTGTAACATCTGCCTAGACAAGATACACAGTGATTATACAAAGATATTTGGATTATTCACCATTTCATATGTGACATACCCATATCATCTGACGCTATGTTATTATTCCTAACCTTTTTCTCTATCAAAGTAATAATAATCTAACATGTAAAGCTTAATAGTATGAGAACTGCACCCAGTTTTTCAGGGGTTGTAATTATAATCTGATATAGTGGGGAAAGCATACATAATCATTAGTGATGTCCCGAATTGTTTGCCCTCCCACCTCCTGGACAGCTCACTAAGAATGCAGCTTCATGGATGCTGTCCAGGAGGTGGGAGGGTCTGGGAGGGAGGGTCTGCTACTGATTGGCTGGAATGTGTCTGCTGACAGGAGTCCGCGGCGAACCGTTCGCGGTGAACCGTGGCGAACCGTTCGGTGAACAGTTCGGGACATCACTAATAATCATATGTTATTGTAAAATCTTAACGTTTGAGTAAGGCCGGAACAACGTTTTACACAATAAAAGCTTTGATACTGTGAACAATATTTCACACACTTCCTGCACTTTAAACCAGCTTTACCACTTTTGAGAATATTAGATTTGCAATGCCGTACATAAAATGTATTCACCACAAACTAAAAGCATCTGTTCGCTTTTACTTTATTTCCTATATATTTCCTTTATTTTTTATATATATATATATATATATATATATATATTTATATTTTTGTTTTGTTTTGTTGCCTAGCAACTTAAAATGTTCACTACTAGATACACACTAGGGTTTATTTATAAAGAAGAATTAAGGATCAATCTTAGTAATTAAGCAGTATATCAATGGAAACTAATGAAACATTCTAATTTTTCCACTTTTCTGACTTCTCCAGAATTTCTTTCAATACATTGTCTTCATTGTCTCAAAGAAGTTCGAATTTAAAGGTTCTGTCTAAGTACCATAATGACTACATCATGTTGTAGTGGTTATGGTGACATACATACTCTGGCATTGTCCCACAGGAAGTAGTTAAACCATTTTGCCTCGATCCTGGCCTTCTTTTGTGAGATTCCTAATGCAGCTGTCCCTACATCCGAATTAGTGATGTCAGTTCCTCTTGCGTTTGGATGCTCACATAATGCTGAGGAATTCAGTCCAAATGCAGGTGTGTTGAGATCACAAAATATAAAGTAAGTACTGCAATGTGCTGCAGTGGTTTTGGTACACAGACTGTCCCATTGTGTTTTTTTTGTATTGATTAAGTAATGTAATAATGTGTTTTTTAGTAGTTTTATTTAAAAATCTGAGATAGACAACTATCCAGTTGACATAATTTAATTACTATGTATGGAGCTCTGCATATAACTGTAAATTATTAGAG